TACAAAGGGAGTTAATGTATGAGATAAAGAGAAAACAACTGAATAGATTTTCTGGACCAACACAGACATCTAAGTCAAGTATGTTTCTATCTCAAATACCTCATGAATTTGGTGTGCATCTACCTCATCCACCATTAGTAAATACTCATCGGATTACATCAAATATTGCAGATGGTGATGACAAGAGAGCTTCCTGTAACTTTCTGAAGGAAGGTGTAACACAATGCAGTTTAATTTCAACTGCAAATGGAGGTCGTGCTAGCAATGACAGACCATTCGACACTAAGCTCAAGATGTTTCCTAAGAGAATGTTGGACCTTCATCTTCCTGCTGAAGTTTACATTAAAAATGAAGGTACAGAAAAACAAGATAGGGATAACATTGCTGAGTCATGCACTATGGCTGTTGAAAATCTGAACATCAATCATGCAGTTGAGATTGAGAATGATGTCATGTCGACTCTTGAGGTTCCTCTCTTTGGAATCGGTACTCTAAAATCAAATTTGCATCCAAAAAATGATCTATCCATTCACAGTCTGGTTGACCTGAATGAGCCTATTAAGGATTCATGTGAGAAAGGAGCTATCAGTTCGAGTTCTCATGAGTCCTGTGGCATGAATGTACATTATAAACAGCTTCATCACCCTTGGGCACCAATGAATTTTAGAAGTAGATTTCCAGATAGGAATTTTTCAATGGACAAACACAGAGACGTTGGTACCTTTAACTACTTCGACACAGACAAAGTTGAAAGAAGACAAGAATGGCCACTGTTACACACTGATTCTGGTAAGATTAATGGTTAATTTTGGTGATATTAATACACTGATACTTTGTATGCAAAGATGTAATTTCTTAACAGTAGGAACATCTTAAATCTCAGCCCATAGAAGTTTTCATGATTTTGGCTAGTCGGGGGACTTCTTGTTTGCAAGTTGCCTTGATTAAATTTCTTGCTAATTTACTTTTATTACTATGATCAAATTATTAGGCCAAGCGATATTTCCCATTTCTGTCATTTTCTACTGCATCTCTGACTACTCTTTTCTATCTTTCCTTAGGTTTTAATACTCCTGATGTTTGTATAGAATTCAATTATCTGGTTGTTATTTTTCACAGGTGAAAGAAAAATTGCTGTCAATTGCATTGATTCTAGCCTATTTAGTGCCAAGTATCCAATGTCATCTGAGGCAATAAAGTTGAAGCTTGATAAATCTCAAGAAAGTCACTTTCGTGATCAAAATCAAACACAGACATGGTTTGGAGAGAAAACTACACACTCCAGAACTCAAGATTTTGTTAATTCAGAACATCCAGGATATACAGCTTCTCAAGTCATATCTCCATTGTTGGTTGATTCCTCCTTTTCCCATGCAATTGCTACCTCTCCAGAAGCTTCTTCTTGGAAAAACCCTTCAGAGGGTATACACCACATTCCAGTTGAAGTTCAAGTGCTTCAATGCTCCAGCAGACCTTCAGTGTTGAATGGACTGAGCATTAATTGCAATGCACATAAACAAAGAAACAGTATTGGTTGTGACAAACTACAAAACATTGGTGATCTGCAGCAACATTTGAGAGTTGGTAATAGATCCTCCTATGTGAATGGTCTTTATCATGGTTCCCAAATGTATTCTATTTCTTTAAATGGAACACATCTTTCACCAAGTAACCTAGAGAAGCCAAACCTCAATAAAAATGGTGATTCTTCACCATATGGTAACTCTGAAATTTATGAACCCCAGAAGTGCTTAAAGGACTTGCAGTTTGCAGACATCAAGTCTGAAAAGGATTTGAATTTGAATGAGGGAATCCTTGTTGGTATTCAAGATGTGCTTGCTGACAAACAAAATTTAGCCAGGAAGCATGATGAATCATCAAAGAGCTCAATTTGGCTTAGAGAACAACCATCTTTCAATGATTCTGCTGATACAAAAAAAGGATGTGACAGTCGATTAGATTTGAGATTCATTGAGAATTGTTCTCATTCTCCAGAATTACTAGGGCAAGATGCCAAGGAAAAAGATTCTTCCATTTGTGTCTTGAAGCACTCTGTGTCATCCTTTGACATCAAGGAAAGCATAATTCAAAGAAGTGCTGTAACTGAAATTAATCCACCTGATAACTCCAAGAGGATATTCTACTGCAAAGGTTCTGTTTCATATTATGGACAGTCATTAGTTGATAATGTGAAGGGCAATAGAGAATGTAAGGCAGTTAGAAATTGCATCCCAATCTCAAGAAATGACATCAATCTTAACTATGATCTTATGCCTATTGATGATGTTTCAGCTGATGTTGAGACACGGACTCCATCCCAATCTCTGGCAATGGTTGCCAGAAAGCCATCTAACAAAATTGATTTGGAAGCAACAGCTGATGAAATGAAAGACAACAATATATTTCATGGGGTTGAGATCATAGATATGAACCATCCAGTGATGCCAGCGGAAATACCAAAAGAGAAGATATCCTCTCATGATACTTGTATGAGACTGGCAGCAGATACTATTCTTTCCATGTCAGTGGATGTGCATACTCATTTAGATAATGTTGCATGTTACCCCTCTGCTCTGTCTCCATGTGATTCCTTGCATTTGTTGGCCGAGGTGATTACATTGAATGGAGAAATTGCAGGACAGTCAGAAGGAAGCAAATATGACCATTGTGAAGCTTCAGATGATGTATTCGATGTCTTTGAGTACATGACATTGAAGCTTGAAGAAGTCAAGGCAGATGATTCCTGTTGCAAACAATGTCAAAATAACAAGCAAAACGATGAGGGTAAGTCCATTGCCTCACTGCTTTTTACCAGGCCTCGTAGGGGCCAGGCCAGAAAAAGAAGACGGAGAAGAGATTTCCAGAAGGACATCCTACCAGCACTTGCATCGTTGTCAAGGCATGAGGTGATGGAGGATCTTCAGGCACTTGGAGGAAAAATAAGAGCAAGCAAGTCACGGCAAACAAGTTCCACTAGGAGGAGCACAAGCTCAAGGAGGTCGAGTGTCCAATTGAGGGGGAGATTGCGGCAGCCAAGTAGTTTGGCCATCACTGTCACAGAGGTTCATGACAGTCCCCCTCAATTACAGCCTATTCATACTGAATTAGAGATTGATGGGCTGAATGTAATGGCATGGGGAAGGACAACGAGAAGGTGTCGTAGGCAAAGAATACCATCACGTAACACGTCTGCTCCTTGAGAGTAGCATTTTGAGAATGATACTTGTCAGGATCAATTGTTGGTGGATTTAGCCATGAGATGCACTGTAGATGATGGCCATAGTCTGGGCATCAATTATGTGCTTACAGATAGTATGTAGATTCCATTAAATAATTGGTGAATTATTTCTCAAAAGATAGGACAGTAATTACTGTTGGTTAAGAAAGCTGTGGAACTTGTTGGGTTAATTGAATGATATTTAACCTTAGAAACTACACATATATAATTTGGATGCTGGGAACATGCAGATGATTAATCTCAGACAAGTTTATTGTGATGGGTTACTCAGCTGCTCAAAATTGCATCCTTATCTCCTTTTCTTTCATCACTCAGTTTGATGTCCTCTTCTGTGAAATCTAAAATGGTATCTATCAGATGGTGCAGTTCTTACTACACACTGAATTGATTGCTTGTCAATGTATTTTGTAATCCCTGTTCAGGAGTTGTCATTTGACGTGCTAATATTATCACTCTCAGTGTTGTGATGCAGTGTGGAGGAACTATGAGATGACATAATTGCACAAGCAAGGAGAGAAGAGAAAATGTGTAATGATTTGTAAATGGTGTACATACACTCTTTGCTGATGATGTATGCTTCCAAAGTCAGATCGGATTTTTGTTATGTTGTTTTATGAACTTGCAGTATTCCGGCCGAAATATATGACAAGTATATGTTATTTTCGACACACAATATGTTTTCTCATCTCAAGCTCATGAATTCATAGTTGTTTGTTGCCATCTTGTGAGCAGAGGGTGAGATGAAAAGGAGTCAGCAAATTTTGCAGATAGCATGAGCTGCTTGCTGGTTGAAGGAATGAAGTTGTTGCTTCCAAATCAACCATTGGAAGCTACTCTTCACTCCAAGTTAATCTTCACAATCATTCAGCTGTTTCCTTAGTAATTGGAAGAGTAAGAGCCAAGTACAACTTCACTCATTGTATGAAGCTACTTTGTCTCAGTCACAGCATATTTGTGAAATTTTACCATAACACTTTCAGTAGGGCAATTAGATGAAACTTGATGTTTCTTGTAGATAAACAAATCAAATATTATTATTCAGATACAAGCTATGTGTTTCCTATGAAACTTCACCTTGAAAGTATTTTAGTAATGGAGATGGTCTTATAAACATCTTTACATTGGATTAACATGTTCAAATCTGACTTATATACCATTTTTTCTAGTCATATCTTCATTATTATTTCTTTTTCAAGGCTTAACTAAGTTCCATCGAGTTCGATCCTCCTCGATCAAATCGATCCTTTTGATATTATCCTAATAAAGCTTTTTTTTTATAGAAATGCTTATTGTCCCTAATACCACTTATAGTTAAATGATGGAGATTAGTTCCATATATATATATATATATATATATATATATATATATATATATATATATATATATATATATATATATATATACAAATCTTTAGAATGTATATACATATAAATAAATAAATAAATAATTGAGGGGTATAATACACAAATCGTTCAATATACAGGGATATATATGTAATTATGGGTGCGCAATCTCAGTTGGGCGGAAGCCTGTTGGCTGTGTTAGCGACACAGGGCTTAAACAGGGCCCGCAATGGGCGGCATATATTCCCCAGCAACGAACGCCGCCCTTTCTAAACTCCTCCGCGTACTCCGCACGCGAGGAGATGCCCCGTCGCCATCCCGCCGCCCACGGGCGCCCGAGTCGCATCCGACGGCGTCATCTGCCCCGGACGTGACCCGAGGATTAACCCGAGTTTAATCGAAACCCTAAGCCACGGCTGGGATCCGAGCCTTCTCCCCTTCGCCGCTTGCGCTATTTAAGCCGCTTCCCGCTTGCCCCACGCCGGCTCCTTCGCCACGGCTTCCCCTCGGCATCCTCTTCCCTCTTCCCCTCCCACGTCGACGGCAGGTAGGCTAACCTGATACCCCCCCTTCGATCTCTCTTGGATTTGAATTTTTCTGTTTGCATCGGTCGACTGAATGATCGATCGAGTCTAATTTTACCTTTGTTATCGATTTCGATGTAGATACCTCTACCTGGAATTATGTCGGATGAAGAACACCATTTCGAGTCGAAGGCCGATGCGGGGGCTTCCAAGACTTATCCGCAGCAGGCTGGAACCATCCGCAAGAACGGGTATATCGTCATTAAGGGGAGGCCGTGCAAGGTTTGCTTCTACTTGATCTGATATGCTTCTTTTAGTTTGTCATCGTTTTGTTGGGTTTCGTCATACGCTAATCGTCCGGGGATGAGTTTTTGTTTGGTCTCGTTATAGCACACCAGTTCAGGTTTTTTTTGGGATTAAAGTAATTTGTGTCTTAGATGGAGCTCTTGATGTTTGCTTTGCTTTTCCTTTAATTGGTCATATTGAATTATAGATCCAAATTCTGTCCATCGTCCTACCGACACGGTATATGCTTTTCTCAAACCTTTTTTGGAAAGACATTATTGTTGTTATTTTCGAGGATTGCGTTTTCTTTGTCGGGGGAATTAGGTCTTTCTTGATCTAACAATGACACATTTTATGTCGGATAGATATGATTGTACTATGTAAATTACACTGTGTTTAAGAAACTCTTGTCTTGGGTGTTAAGACGTAGTTGTTCGGAAATTTTGCATTTGAATTTGCTCCTGTATATGATGATAACTAAGTTGTATATTTAAACGCTTTTATCTACATTAATTTATGCAATTGAATGATTAATAGTGTATTTTTCCATACTCCTTCCTCTAACATGTTTCTTCAAGACATGTAGAATCAATTTCCTTTAATTTAACTTTATATGGTGAAATAGATTTGTGATGGCTTCTGGAATAAGTTGGAACAATTATGATGTGTTAACTTTAAACGAGATATAGTTCAAGATGGTAATGAAATAAGAATAAAATCAATATTTTGCATTTGTTATGTAGTTGAATAACTCTAATAAGTTTTTTGTAGAATAAAAGCTGGTTTGTTAGGACAATCATTGGCCTATTTCACTTCATACATGCAAAAGTTGATAGAACTAATATCCGATTAGAATGTTGAGGGCCCAAGAGAGCCGCATCTTGAGGCATTGCCCAGGAGCAACTTTCTGAAAAATGACTGTGCCATACAAGTAGTCAATGTACCATGTACTACAAGCGCATATGTATGCACATAAGTATATATGCACATTACTCTTTGAGAAGTTATTACTACGATAACTATAAGTAGATGTAAAAAAAGTGTATCCAAACAAAAATATATTACCATCGATCATGTTCTATAGTACAAATCAGTATTGTTAAAAGGATCTCGAGCAAGTCAAAGCAAGACTTGAGTGCCTCAATGGGGTCTGACCAAGGCACCATGAGCTGCGTGTTGCTCAGACAAGTACCTCAATTGGGCTGCTAGGCATCCCAATCACTTGCGTGGGCTAGCCTAGGCATTGGCCCAACACTAAGCTAGCCTAAACCTGATCTTTTCTTGCTCTCTTCATGCAACAGTAGCTGGACCTGCAACTTGGTACAATGCCCAACCCACGTGTGCGGGCCCATATGCAACCGCTCTCCCACAATGTAAGCATGAGCATCATCTAGTTCCACTTCACCTTACGCAACACCAGCTTGATTCACGTGAACCCAGGCTCATGCCTCATGTAACCAGGTTTGGCACCCAGTCCATGCATGTGGACCAATGCATGAGCTTGAAGTTGTGTGTTACATGGTGGGTCTGAACCCCCTCGTCCAAACCTGATGGTCTATCTTAAACATTTCAAGCGCCCATGCCCATGCCTATGCTATGTTCTTTCAACATCACCAGCCTTCTATTGTCACAAACATCCAATACCATTGGTCAATTCTTCTCCTATCTGTTTTTTCTCTTCCCTTCTTTCCTCTTTCCTCCCATCTCTCTACGGGCTCTGCCATCACTGCCACCCTGCTCCCTCTTCTCTTCCCTTCAACATCTCTTCCAGGTGACTGGACCCCTCCCTTGTTGAATGTATCAAATTGAATAATAAATTTGTTTTAGGATCTTAAGGTCACATCTTAAAGTTCATTGCAACAATTGTCATCAGTAATGTTTTATAAGTTCATTTGTATGCCTTTTAACAAGAATTGTTGGAATCAAAATGTTATTCTGAATCTTGACTAGAATCTACCAAGAGTTTTGTCCCCTTGATCGTTCGTCTGGCTTGCAGCCATATGTATGCATATAGCCTGCATGTTTTGATGGACTACATAAGATGGCCATATATATGCATCCAGCCACATGTGCAATCATACCAGATATTGATGCCACATAAGGCTATATGTTGCAGTCATGTTATATGTTGCTTTCTTACAGTGTTATCATCTTGGAGCTAAATGATAGGAAAGTGATTATGTGCTGTTAAGTCCTAGTATCTTTGTATTTGGTTTGGCCTTGCGTTGCTTATCTTCTAGTTCATGATTTGATATGGTTTGTCATTGCCACACTAGGTTGTAGAGGTTTCGACCTCCAAGACTGGAAAACATGGACATGCTAAATGTCACTTTGTTGGTATTGATATTTTCAATGCCAAGAAACTTGAAGATATTGTCCCATCATCTCATAACTGTGATGTAAGTGGCTTTTTTAGCTTTTGTGACTGAATAATTGTTCTCTAAGACTGTCAATGCTGATTTTACATTAAATTGCAGGTTCCCCATGTCACTCGTACTGACTATCAGCTTATTGACATATCTGAAGATGGATTTGTATGACCTTTTAATATTTTGCTACCATCTATTTTGATTGGTTTAATCAACGTTATATATTGGATGATGGCAGGTAAGTTTGTTGACTGAAAATGGTAACACGAAGGATGATCTGAGACTCCCTACCGATGAATCCCTACTTGCTCCGGTTAGTTTACCAACTATATTTACTGATATTAACCTGGAGATTATGGCCTGTTAAAGTGACTTTGGCTTTATGGTTACTTTTTGCTTGTCTTACCTTCTTATTCTCATGCTTATATTTTATATTTTCTGCAAGCCTGCAAACCTGTGTGCATGTTTATTTTTAAAATTTTAATTTCTTGTGTGTTATGTGCTTTTGACTAGCCTAGTTTATTATCAAAGCATGACTTTCTGGAATCCTCAGATCACGAAAGTGGGAATACTACTCTCAGAATCTAAAGCTGACCATGTTCTAAACATTCACCAACACTTGTACACCTATTGTCTCATGGAGTTTGTATGCTAGCATTAGTCTTTCTTCATTGTTCACTTGGCTCCTGTATTCTAGATTTTTTGCTAACCTGAAATCTGTAATGATGCAGATTAAAGATGGTTTTGCAGAAGGAAAGGACCTGGTGGTGTCTGTCATGTGTTCAATGGGTGAAGAGCAGATCTGTGCACTCAAGGACATTGGCCCCAAGTAGCTTACCTGCATCTATTTGCTGCCTTGTTTTTTTTTAGCAGTGGATTCTGTAAGCATAATGGAGCCATTTGAGACTTCAAGAACATATATGTCATGTGTACCTACTCTGCTCTAAAACTGCTTGATCTGCCTTTCCCCCCGATAAACAAGCTCGATCTTGTTGGACAGTAGTCCAATTACCCTAAAAAAAACTTAAATATGATGTTCTTATTATATTCATCTAGCTATTGTAACTGCACACGTGAGCAATGTTGGCTCTCATGTGCTAATTATCTGGGTTCTGTAGTATTACGTAATCTTGCATATGAACCTCTGTATTTTGGTACTGTATCAAATAGTGAGCAACATCAACATGTTATTTAAGGATAGGCATTCTGTTTAGTAGGTTCATTTGTACATTCATTGCCCACCAATCCTGCAGCCATAACTGAGAGTAATAGTACTGACAGTGGCTATTCATTGCCCCAACTCATTTGATGAATTCAGGTATTCTGATCGCGGTTGTGCTACTACCCTAGATTGCAATTGAAGTATCAGTTCCAGGTATGATGAACTGCACAACCTTATTTGGTTTCAAACATGCAAAGAAAACTTTGGTTCTGACTCCATGTCTACTGCATCGTCACTCTTTCTCCAGCTCGATCGAATACCAGACTGGCAGCTCTCGAGGAAAGTGCAGGTGATAATTGTATCGAGGACGACGAGGAGGGAGTGCATGTAAATGATCGAGAACGCTTCCCAGATGACTGAAACATGCAATGTGCCAGCCACGCGGTATGGCCGTATCACCCTGTACTGAAACAGTGCTTCGATGCCCGCCATTCCCAGACTTGCAGGCAGCGTCAGCGTTATGGCTGTAGCCGTTCTGCCTTTCACAAGCACGAGGGCTTTAAGAATCGAGAGATGCCCGCCGCTGCCGTCTGTGACGGAGATGACGATGGAGAGGTTGCATGTGACCATTGGCGAGCACGAAGGCGTAGAGGATGACGCCGGAGGCGGAGAGGGCGAGGGTGGTGTTGCTCGAAGACAGGTGAAGCATGTCCACCACGTTGAAGGCCAGGAACAGAAGGGACAACACAGCAGCATTTGCCGAGAGAACGAACAGCGAATTGAAGACGGAAGTCCGCGCGATGCGTGGGTAGAGGTGGAGAACGCAAGCTGCATTGCGGCGAGGAGCTCCGCAGATGATCCGGTAAACGGATGCTTTAGCTGCGACCAAGAACGTGAGCGTGAAAGGAAGAGTAGAGACGAAGGTGAAGATGGACTGCGAGAGCTTGATGTTGACGAGGGAGAAGAAGCGGGACGGAGGGAACCCGGCGGCGTCGAACAGGAACGCGAGGCGCGAGGAGATCGTTCGGAGGACGGGGTAAGAGAGGTCGAGTGACTGCGCCAGGAGAGTGGCGGCCGAGGCGGGGAAGACCAGGAGAGCAGCGGCCGAGGCGAAGGCCTGGTAGCTCCGGAAGAAGGCATGTAAGGATCTCCTGATGGTCTTGGAGGCTATGCCCATGGCTCAGAGCTATGTCTGCCCTGCTTCCGGAGGTGGAAGAACTACTTGAATGCGGAGGGTGGCATGGCATGGCATGGAGTTTTGCCTTCAACTCAAGTCTGGAGTCCTTTTCCTTCGTCTGGGTGCAGGTTGGTCATGATGCGATACAGGCCAGCTACTGAACTAACGTTGCAGCAATTTGGCGTGGCTTCTACTATCACGAGTTTGGCCTTTTACCTGAGTGAGCTTTGCTTTATCTCCAAGCTCTTATTAACCATCATTCACTAACTTGAAGCAGTGCAGGTTTCCGGTAACCTCAATGAAGATGGAAGAGATTGGAGGTGGGTGAGGATGCTTATAGAAAATGTGAAATCTTTTACTAGATTGAAGCCTTTTGGAACTTTTGAGGATGTTGTGACTGCTCGCATGGTCAGGTGGCAAAAGCTTCCCAATTAGAATGGCAAAACGCAAAGGCTAATTATATATTATTTTTATATATTTAGACTCAATTAGTATCATGATTTTTATATTTTAAAAAATTATATTAAAATTTTATAGTTTTGAAAGTAAAATAAATGACTTCATTTATCATAACGGTATCAAGTGCACTGATGATGATGATGGACAACATAACACGCGACAAGTGGGGAATTATCAAATTTGTGAAAGGGTAAAATAGTTATTTGAGTCATTAATTAAATAAAAAGAAAGGGGTCATTAGTTACCCTATCATCACAAACTTAGTTGGTGTTGCTTAAATCATACGGTACCTTTGCATGTCCATCCACAAAGGGTTAGTCTCTCCGAAACCTCTTATGATTCCATAAGGATTTATAAAAGAAAAGAAAAGACGAGTTAGAGAAATCGTACGGTACATTTAAACAAACACTTGATAGAATATGTAAATTATAAATATAAACTTTGTAGGCTCTAGACGACAGACGGTCGTACAATAAAAGGTCTAATGTGGTCTACTATGACAAAAAGTCCTCATAAGTGTCTACTTCACACTATTATGAAACAATGCAACAAACTAATCCTATACAATACATCAAAGGCCCATCCAACTGTAGTACCTGCGTAGCTCTAAGGTGCTGCACTAGTTGACAATCTACACTACTCTACGGGGCTAGAAGACCATCAAAATAATTACTTGGATGGTCTATTTTTGGATAATTTTACCTCTACAAAATAAATTTACATGACTAAAAAATTAATTAAATGAGACTGTCAAGCTTACTGCGAGTCCTTTACTTATTGTGCAAAGAGAACAAAACTGAAAGTCACGTATGTATACAAATATTACCTCAAACACCATTTGTCTATAACATTATCTCTCACTTATTTCTTTGATGTCCTTATCGAAGTCATTGCAAATACTATATCTCTTCATCTTTCCTAAATTTTCAATCCTTTGTTTTATTTGCAACGCATCTCCATCAGTTTCCAACTCTCCGTTGTTTTAACTTGCAAATGATTTTGACTTGGTAGGGGTCGGTTAAATTGTGTTGGTCTTTGTTGGTTCTTTCGGATCTCTTAAATGAAGGAAAAGACTTTTCTTATTATGTGCTAGTCTCTCAAAAGTCTCACTTCGTTTGAACTAGGTGGATGTCTATTGGAGGCTTATTGAGCATCGCCTCATAAACTTTAAAGGTTTTTAGGTCTTTCTTCTATAAAATTTATCAATCGATTCATCTTCTACTTAATTGTCACATTCAAGAAAATTTACATCACTTTCATTTTTGATTGATATTCTGTTAGAAAATGAAGTGGACAATCTACTCTCGGAAGAATCGATCACCATTACTAAGGATTTAAAAATTATTATCTTCCACAAAATCTTTTCGAAGGGTCTTTGAACATATGTAGAGCTCCTCTATTGGATAAATAAAAGAACTAAGGTTCTCAATTTTGCTTATTCTCTTAAGAGTTATACTTCATACATCAAGTTGATTACTACCCTTTATCTACTCTTTGCTCACACTTTTGAAGCACCCAAAGTATTTACATTCCTTGCGTTGAGTTAGCTATTGTAATTCCATCTCCTCATTGCCATTAAATTTTTGGAATACAAGAAATTTTATCCAAAAAGAGCAAAACTTTACCTCGACTTGGACCAAGTCTCTAATAGTTTTGGTCACCTCTCGAATTGTATCGTCTTCTCTATTATTTTTGCTGCCTACTTTTCTAAGTAGAAAATGTACAATATCATGTATTGCTTACTCCGTTCTTTGGTCGAGCACTCCTTATTAATCTAAAGTCTCCCACTTTCAGTTATTTTGATGAGAAGCACATCAACACCGGTCCTATGAAGTTTCCTAGCTTCTGCTCTTTTGTCATGTCTCGGTACTTGGAGTTTACATTTGCATTCTCTACTTTCTGGACCCCTCTTCATAACCATGCACTTTTCCTCCATGAGAGTAAGAAATCGATGACTCCATGGAAGTCTCACTATTGTAGTATCATGGCATTGTCATGCCATAAATTTTACTATTCCTTGCCTCACATCTGTGTCATTTTCTTTATAACTGATAGATCCATTTTTGTGGCACTATGACACTCCTCTAAGTCCACCTTGATCATAACTGATGTTCAATTTTGGGTAACTAAGTTCCTTTAGACTTATCATCGCTTCTTTACTCCTTGTTACCACCTACTTCAATATACTTGTGTTCTCCGAGCAGTTTCCCTTGGTTAATGAAAAGATAGACTAGAACTCCTATGCATACCCTCCGTCATCATGTTGTAGGACTCACGTCAACTCTATTCTCATTTACGTGCTTGGAAGTAATGTTCGTTCACTCAGCCTTGTCCTCCAACTTGTCAAGCTCCCTCAAGCGAATATGAGCTTTAGAGCAGCCCAAGTCTTCAACTATCCCGATTATACTTTTGTATGATCAAGTCCCTCATGAGACTTCTCTCATGTGTATTACATTGTCTCAAACTATTCTACTATGATTTGCTATACTATGTCGCCTTCTAGTGACATCTCTATTACATTTTAATCTTTGTAGAATGAACTTAGACTATGATCTCTCCATGTGTAACATCTGCCAACATATCATAAGGCTTCCACTATTTCTAATTATGTTTACTCCTTTGGTAATCGATATTTATCCATCCGCTCTTAGGTTACACACAAACGAAGCGTAACTTTAGGATAGTTCATCATATAATAGCTCTTGAAGTCTATCGATTTTGCTAAAATTAGTGTATATTGTTTAGATCTTAGGCCCTTGCCCTATGCATAATTTATACTGTGCATAACTTTCTTTGCAACAACTTGAATGATAACAATATGACATATTCTTCAAGAGTATCCACCTCCATATCCTTTTACCATATAATAATGTCTTCTGATCCTAACTTTACCTTAATAAGTTGAGTCTCCTTAGTCTCTTCGCCAATTGCTTTGTTGAAATAAGGTATATGTACATCGAAGCTCCCTTCGACCTTGGCATCATACAAGATAAGTCCACTTTATCTGAATGAAAGACTCATGCAACAATATGATTTCACTTTTATTTTTATAATAGTTTATTTCATTCACATCTATTCAAGAATAGCTTCGTGCCTCCACTCCATGTTCTGTCATCTATGTCAACTCCCTTCATATAACTTAGACACTTTACCAAGTTTCACGTAAGTTGCTCTACTTTTTGATTTGTATTGAGTTAATGGTGGCTCTTATGGCCATCATTCGATGGATCAACCCTATATTGAATCTAATCTTCACAACGACTCTAAATGTATCTTATTTTGGTATTGCATATGGTCACTCCCTCACTTGATCTCGTAATGCATCCACTAATAATATATTACCTGTGTGAGATCATGCAAGGACTCATCGTTGCTCGCTCGATCCATCGAAGCATCATTCATTTAAAATCTTTAAACTAACAATAATTCTACTCACCAATTCATCGGAACATTGATATGAGACTGCATTCAAAATGGAGCAGCATTCATTGGACCAGCATCCATATGAAACCTTTTAACGAAGAACAGTTCTGCTCACCGATTCATCTTAAGAACAATTCCCCTCTTTTAACGAAGAACAATTCTGCTCACCCATTCATCCGGACAACAATTCCCCTCACCGAAACAACAATTCATAAGAAAAACAACATTCAAAGGATCTGCTGCTACATTCAGAAAACAGCATTCAAAATATTGCGCATAAGTTTGCTGCTGCATTCAAAAGACAATGAAAAACAAGTTCCCAATACAGCTGCAAAAGTCTGTTGCTGCATTTAAAACACTGCTGCATTCAAAAGATGCGAAAAACAAGTTCCCAATACTGCTCAGAACACTAATACATTTAATTCACAGACAGATTCCCAAACAGTTGTCCGACAAACTGTGTCATGTCCAGAATGACCGACAGTATTCAAACAATCATTGCTGCAGAGATCTGTCAGCTTTACCAACCTTCGTTATATTCTTCTAACATGTAAATAGCAAACCGTAATAACGTGAATTGAAGCGAAAGAAAGAAACCCTAAATTGGAGGATGTTTATTATTGGCACTGATATCGAGCTTGAAGTCCACTCTCCACCTGGATCACTCGCATGCCGGGGTGAATCAATAGCAAGTGATTCAGGCTGTGTTGCTGTTGCAAAAAAACTAGTTTTTTTTTTTTTTTCCCTTTTTCAGGACCTTTAGTGGTACGAATTTTTTTAAATTATTTTATAGGTTTTTTTTTAATTGAGAGTGTGTGATTAGTAACTGATTATATTTTCTTACTAAGATTAAGGAGATGACTATAAATATCATGATCCGAGCTTGGTGGGCTAACTAGTCTATCAACTTCGATCTAAATTACTGATCAAAATGCTTAAGGTAAAGTTGATAATAATATACTCATCAGATCTTTATAAGTCAATCTTAATCTTATCCATATGGGACTAATCAGGGGTGGTACAATAAATATATAAGAAAGTACCTCTTCAACTATTTATTTTTATCTTCACATTCTTTCATAAATAATTTAAACAAAATATAATATGACATTAAGAGATAATAATTAAGTCTCATTTTCTATGATAAACAATAATCAATTATTTTCTTATATTTTCTCATGCCAATTACCTCAAGTTTGTCACCATAATTCTAATGTTGGACAAAGTATTTCCTTAAACTTAATCAACAAATTATCCTGATTCTACTGTTAGGACAAAGTATTCCATTAAACTTGATCAACGAATCTCGATATATATAGATTCTCTCTATTAACTTGACTCGAATGCATCTTGATGATTGACTTATGGTGAGTTTCCAATATGATTGAATTGAAGCTTTCATAATAAGTTATTTAGTTGAGCATCATACTTTAGTATTGTTCTAAAGTTGAACATCATACTTCACTTTGTCCAATTTATAATTGGTCTATCAGTTAACAAATGTAAGCATCTTTATCAATCTTTATTACTCTTCAAATAATAAATTGATAAATCAATTTTATGTATCATTGTTCTTCCTCTCAAATGTTACATAGACAAATGGATATATTTGATTATTTGGGTCAATTCGCACAGTAAACAATAATATACTTCTTTGATGTATAACTCAAATGACATCCATCAAAGTTTATAATATACGTACACCGTACGAATCCTTCATTTAGTGCAGCAAAGTAAATATAAATTCTATAAAATGTATCATTTTCCTTAAATTTCATGACACATGCTCCCTAAATTTTTGCTACATATCTCCTTGCAATAATTCCATAATAAATCTTATTCTTCCCTCTCAATGCTTGTGATTATGCTCAAATCTTTATTCTTCAATTTATATGTTTTGTATGTAAGAACATTCAAAGCGTTGAATTATTATCTTTAAAGATTTTGTTGACTAAGTAGAATTCATTATAATCTTATTATAGTAATTTTATCGGCCAACCATAGTTAAATGATTGTGATCTTTCACAAGAATATTCTGTATTTAAAATTTTCATTTTTATAGTTAGTTGCCTCTTCTTGTCTTTTTAATTTTTAATGCATAAATTTTTACTTATATAGTTAGTTGCCTCTTCTTGTATTTTTAATTTTTAATGCATATATCATCTAGTCACATATGACATAGCACATTATCCTAATCTTGTTCGTATCATTCTTTACATATTTAAGTTGTTTGCCTTTCATTATGGTATGTTTATCGAGGGCAATATGAAACTCTTCAGCATCAAAATACATTCCAAACTAAAAATCAAAGTTATTCATCTTAGCTCTAGCATTAGAGTATAGATATAATAATTTATTGTGACTGTTATCCATTTTGACACCAACTATTACTTCTTCATTATTATTATTATTGTTCTCTTTTTTTATTATAAATTGTCTAGGTTGATCTAGTGTCTGTTTAACTCAAGTAAAATCTTCCTCGTAAACCCGAGGCTATTGATCAATTTTTTCAATAATAACTTAAGAAATCGATATTCAGTGATTTAAAATAAAATAAAAATAAGCACACACCCTAGTCTTCTAGATTTGATGATAACTCGAAATAAAATAAAAATCTTCTTTCTCTTGACGTCTCGTCCTTATCTCTCGCACATCCTAAATGGTTCAAACCATAATGAACTAAATTATTGCTTAGAACAAACAGACTCTCCCTCTAACCCTAAACCCTAATTATGAGTTTTCAATCAAATTTACAATTGATTAATGATATTTTAATTTGAGCAGAACAAAATAAAACGAAATAAATATTGAAATTATATTTTCGATTTCACGTTGATCCAACACATGGTATTGTGTTTTTCTCGATGTAGCCGATGACATTAGAGAAAATGAGATCATTTGTTTCACTTTTAAAATTATAAAAATTCTAATATAAATTTCTATAAGAATCATGATCTAAATACAAAGATAATTTATAATTAGTCCCAAAAAAAAAAAGTAAACACATGATCATGTCACATTATTCATCAGCTCGTCTGGTAGATGGACATCACTTCAAATTCCTCTTAGAATCACATTGAGGTAAGCAGTAGCATACTTAATTACTGCATACATGGGATTAATGATATCCAATAAGTCTTTTGAGTCGATCTAACACCTCAATCCACAGAACTGAGCCAAGCTGAAGCTGGTGGGGCAAGTCATGTGCAAAGTAGTCAGAGAGAACCGAGACATCATGGCAGAAGAGAGAGAATAAAGTGGATGGAATGAGGTTGGTGCCCAGCTCCATCAAGCATGTTAATTTTGGCTTAGCTTGAGGGGGAAGACATTTTGTCTTGCAATTATAAGGTAGGAAGGCCCTTTGTGGTGGGAGATCAATCAGAATGGTACTGGTCCTTGATACAAAACAATCCCACTCTCCTTCAATAAATGAGCTGGGAGCTGTAGGGAACAAATGGCATGGATACTTTGCTAGGGTTCCAAGTTGATGTGTTCTTTTCTCAAAAGCCACAACTTTCCCAGCCTTGCATTCTGCCAACCTTTTTAATCACATGAAATCTACTGTTTCCAGTATTATGAAGCAAGCAAAATGTAGGATGTGTATTGGTAGTCCAGTTACTCACTCTAGGTTTTACATAGAACAACAGGGTTTTCACTGGAACAATAACATAATTTCAGTCTTATACTGTTCTGGATCTATTGTGTCCCCATTGCTTGAAAAACTTGGAGCACAAAAACTTTCACAAGACCAAGCAGCTCTGAAACAAGAAGACATCAGATTCACTTCTGGATTCAGACTGGAACAATCAATACTTCTGAGTGGATTTCTGATGGTGCTGGCTAAGTTACTGAAACAGTTCCAGCATTGACTTCTGAAACATTTGACAAGCAAGTATTGTCACACAACTGGAGAGGAACAATGAACTGAATGAACAAACACCTGCTTTGCTAGCTTTAGTGCAATGCTGATCAACTTTCTTATAGTTCATTCTCAGCCCGAAGGAATTGTCATTTATTTGCCTTGCTATTGTACTGCTCATAGGAAGAACACTAACACACCAGTGTTATCATTGTCAGAAACAAAAATCCAGAGCACAAGAGATACAATCAGGATCCTGTAGCTTAGGTCCTCCAGGTTCAAGAAATTCCATTTGCCTTGGTCATCTACATGGAGAGAGTAAAATGAATTGCACAAATTATTATTTTGAGCAAACGGAAAGATTGATGAGATCAGAAAATAAGCTGTCAACTCTGATGAACACAATGTCTGGGAGATAAAAAGAAAAAAGTACTTGAACCACCTATGTTCATAAAAACTTGCAGTGCATGTAATTACTTCAGTTGTAAATGTTGACATCACTACTCGGAATCATATTCTCGTTTCGTACATCACCAATATAGGAATTTTGATATATTATACACCAATATCATATAATGGTATGCATAGGGGGACTATGATATGTCAATGTGACCATGGGGGAGAGAGAGAGAGAACCAAGGCATTGGAATCACATTCTTGTTTCCTGTCATCATCCTTTAGCAAGACGAGTGTGATTCTGCATCACCTCTTCATCAGTCGCATGTTTCTATCACTGCATGATGAGGTGATAAAAGTTGCAGAGTTGCTGCCTCATGGAGAATAATGAAAGCAGTATCATTCTACCGAAACCCCATGTTAAAAGTCATTTGGGATTCTGCAAAGTATACAGATAGACATATCAAAGCTCCACATATCATTAGCCAAAGCACTAGTATCTTGTCCATGCTGCTAAAGCAGAAAAAGCATTCTCCAAATTGCATCAATGCATCAAAAATACCCAACGAGTCAAACATGCAATGATGATGCACCAAAAAGCTTTAACAATTCATGTACTACAAGCAAAGTAGCAAACTATGTCATATATCAGATAAAATGATATCAATGGTCTCTCCTGTTGTAGTGTAAGGACGCATACATGGCTTTTTCCACTATGTGCTCAATCTAGGTAAAACAGTGTGTAAAACATACTGTAATCTTGTCTCAAGGAGCATGCCACTGAACTTATGTTTGTGTCTCTCAGAGTAATCACCCAACACAATTTAATTTGGCCACTCAGTTGCAGTATCTCGGAGATGAATCTGAAAAGAATACTCCATTACAAAGATTGCATTTGTTTGCGTCTTGTTTGTGATTGTTGTATAAATGTTGAGAGGAGGCTTAAAACTATGCTTGAAACTCCCATAAAACGTAGACTCAACTTGAAATATAAAGCATGTCCCCCGCAATTAATTGCAGAAAATACTTTCAGAAATACGAAGGATTAGTTTTCGGATGTCCTCCACAACCTTCAATCGACCAGTCCTGTTGAAAGGATGCAGGAAAGAATGTCCAACAGTGAATGATCAAAGTGAGACATCATGACATCATAGATTACTGGTTGACCATTTAGCTTGAGTTATACTTGAGATCTTAGCAAGGAATTGCACTCTTTCAGTTTGTCAAATGAGCATGAAAAATATCAACTTTCCAAGTTTGAAGCTTGAATTTGCCTGCAACTGTGATTATATCTTTTCCTGTTGTCATCCTTCTTGTTAATGATCATCTCCGTGTTACCATCTGGGAACTGCTTTGTGAATACAGTAGATTCATCTTCTCCATCAAGTATTTTGTAAAGAACTCACAGCTGCATTCTCCTATTCCAAAATATCTGGTGTTAGGGCTTTGTTTACACAACACAAGGAATCTGAGTCAAGATAATGTCTGCTATTTGCCTGAGACTGTGTGGCAACATAAAACAAGATATCAGCTTCCTTCTTTCTGCAATTATCCTAGAAACCTGATCATTCACTGGTCAAATTTAGCTGGATCAAAATTCAGACAAATCATGGAGATATTACTCGGTCTGTTCAGGTGAGAGCTTCATCTTGGATTCTCTTATTCTCCCTGCTCAAATGAGGAAAACAAATCACAAAATCTATAATCTAAAGAGCAAATTGATCAAAATTGAGTCTGAACCATATAAGTCTTTGATCCTTGTCTTGTTGGCATCATACAGAAAATTAGAATAAACATTACTGATTGTTTTGCTCACTAAATGCTGGTTTGTTCCCTGAATAACTATGACATATATTCTAGTAGAGTAAGACTTTGATGCCAATTCTGGGATTACCATCCTTGCTGCTTGCCAAATTTTACTTGTTCTTGTTGTTCTATTGTTGGCATATTTCCAGGGCTTTCAGCTTTGCGATTCACATTTAACATCCCATTCTTGTTATTCCTGACCAATACGTTGTCTTTGATTCTGATATCATCTGTTTCTTTGATAGATTGATACATATTTGTAATTTAATTCTATATACTAAGATTAGTATTCTTGATGTGAATGTCATTGTATCACCGAATAAAGGAGTAAGATAGTCTTATCATCCGGTTCGACATCTCATTGACTAAATAGTAACTTGTCTGGAATCATTTTGCTTTTTTCTCCTTTTTATCCACAATAGGATACAACTGCAAAGGATAACATATCTTTTCATGTACAAGTAGTGTACATGGTACAGCCATGGTAATTAGCATTCTCCTATCGATCTGCTGCGTCTCTGTTTTCTTCCCTTTTATTTCCTTTTCTGTGAGAAAAAACATCCTTTTTCCTTCAGATATTTAACTCTTATTTGTCTCCTCAGTCCCCTCTTTTGTTTGGATTCAATTAACTCCACTCGAATGGCATCTCCTTGCTTTTTTGACACCAGCATCTTTTGTTTCTTAGATTAGGTTAACAAAAGAACCACTCATTTTTATTTGGCAGTATGCATTTGCTTTAGAAAATCCTCTGAATTGAGTTTCAATGCCACATCCCCCAACAAAATCCAATGGTGCAGCTTTCCAAAGGTGTCATTTTTGTGTTGGAGCAACTTGGAAGTTTGATAGGAAATTATGTTCCACAGATGAGGTTTAGTTGTCTTAGTCTAGGTGCTGGTCTACACTACCACATTGTGCTTGCCAGTTGCTCCCATGAGCACCTATAGTCCTCCGGGTCTTTAACAGCAATCATCTGTGTAGTTGGAAGCAAGGATGGAACTTGTCTGTCACATTTTTGCTACTTGCAAATCCACCAATGAGAAATAGACTTGTCAGCAGAACTGAACAGTTGACTAGTGGAGATCTTTAGGTAATGCATTCCTGACCATATATCCTGCATGCCAATAATTCAATGTCAAGAATGTTTCTGTGCAAATGGTTTAGCTTGTTCTTTTCACATGACACGATGCAGGGAACAACAAGATCATCATATGATCTATCTTTGAGATTCTTTAGATCTGTACTTATCTCTAACTGGGATCAGGTGGTCCAGCAACCCCAATATCTTGCAAGTTGGCATCATCATTGTGGTTTTGTTGGGTTGGAGAAAACTGGCTTGCTTTCTGGAACCCTATTCCGTGCCCACTGGAATCACAGCCTTTCGGTGTCAAAGACAACAGATAAATAGTCAAGTTTGCTCAAGTTCAAGTGTCTGGAAATTGACAATCCATTCTGAACTCAAAAGAGTATTGGGTGCAGATAAAGCATACTAGATTGCAGAACCTCGAAATCCCGGGTCAGGTCCTTCTTCATTTCTTGCCCATGAGCAGCACACCCGCACATGAAGGCTTCAGCTACAGGAGTTTTGATTGGGACAAGATTCAGGAGAGCTAAAATCTGAAAGCAATGCTTCCTATCTGTTCTCCAGTCACTTGCTGACAACCAACTCCTACCATATTCTCCCATATATAACAAGGACCACACCAAATACTTGGAGGAACTGAAACCAAACAGAATAAGTATTGATCTTCATCTGAAAGATAGCAGGCATCTCCTTACCATAAACCTTTTTTCCCTGTAGCTTGCTGATGGCATAAACCACCATGGCACCAAAACTTTCTAATGGAGGTGGCCACATCTTCCTCTTTCGACATCCATTAAGAAGTTAGAACTCAAAAGGATCAGCTTTTAGAACCACTTTGCCTCTTTAGCCCGAAACCACATGTTATGTTGTAATGTGGTCCCATTGTAACAGAGATTTAGGTCAGATCACTGTAGTAAATCTCACTTTGTCAGCAAAGGAACATTTCAGTATATGGACTTCCAAACTAAGAAAGGGAGAGAGATCTGCATAATTATAGAGGTCAGAAGACATCATAAGCATTCATCTGTGCATCAAAGGAATATTTTTAATGAACGACAATTTATGAATTATTAGCAGGTAAAAGAAAACCATAGAGAGTATCAGGTACTATAGCAAATGAGAAATTTGAGGTCTATACTATCAACTGATGTAATTAGTCCAACGACACAGGGATAATGAGAGGCCAATAAATCCTATGCTTATACACCATAAAGAAAGCCTGTAGCCTGAGTTGACTTCTTAACATGATTTGTACATTATATCACCTGGTGGGACACCAAGAAGACTCCTGAATGAATATGATCGAGTGTGTGTCTCAGACAAGATCCTAAACTGGCCACATTCATATCTCCTGCATGCATGAGTTGAAATCAATTGTGGAAGAGAAGCCCTGTCTGTTATCTATAGATCAGACTGTCTGACTCATACATCCACTAGCACAACTTTACCACAAGGAAATATCAGTCAGCATAAAGGCTTGCATCACTATATAGTAGAAAGCAACAGGGAAATGCTTGATCTTTCACAGGAACTAAATTTCCCATTGTCCTCTAAATAGTGATATTCCACCGAAACAACAATCTACTTGCAAAGTACAAGTGGTTCTGAAAGCACTTCTCCTTGAACATCCTCCACTACAAAAAGGGCCGGCAAGTTACGTTGGAACTCCTCCAGCCAAATATTCCACTAAGAAAGCACAACAGTAAATCAAGATTAATGCAGCACCCATCTCTCACCAAGCTTTGTAGTCATTATTGGAACTTCCGTGGGGACATTAAGATGTAAAATAAACAACGACAGAAGTGTAATGGCATCTCCACTCAGCTCAATGCTTTCACGAAAGCCTGTCATGTAGTCATGGCATGAAATAAACTTTTCTGTAGGCACACATCCAAGTGCAAATTATAAAATAATAAGTGTTTCAAGCTTGAGGGTAACATTAACATAAGAACTTTTATCTCGATTACAAATAAGTATGTTTGTATCACTATAAGCCCATTACCATCTCTCAGAGCAATCACTGAAAATGACATTCTGAGTTTTGCATCATCTTAATGATAAAAAATTACACACCATGAAGATCGATACTTTGACAAAAGAAAGTAATCTTTAATTTCCTTCCACCGACTGACGGGAACATCATTTTAATGTTAAACATGCCATACAACTTGTCATGAAGAAATTAAGTACCAATCTACTTGAGAACTTTTTCAGCATAGAACAAGGAAACAAGTTAAGAAATGTGTTCATTTAAGAAGTTGGTACATTGTCAACATTGTATTATTCAGAGAAGAGAACCACGTAAGTGGATATCAACTGATAAAGAAAAGATGTAGGGAATCTGAAATTTTGACCTTGGCAACAGTATTAACATAAACCAAGCATTGCTGCTTTAACAAGCACCAAAATGTGGGTCACTAGTAGGAAAGAAAGATATATACAGCTAAAATATCCATTGCCACTTCTGTTCCTACTGATAAGAATCCCCCCTTACAGTTGTTCCCACTTCTTTCCTTGTTCTGCTTCTTTTTAAGGGAAACCAACACAAATCCATCAAAGCTGTGCAACTTCCCATCCCTTCCTTTTGAAACCTCTCATAATTTTTTCCTCTTCAACAGCTACTGGATTTGTTTGCTTCCGGATGGAAAAGGGCGAAATCAGAGAAGAAGAAGAAGACACCGATCAGAAGCCGGGACGACAAACAATTGATTCTGACGGCAGGGAGATTTTTCATGAAGATCATCAAGCATGGCTGAAGCTGACACTTGGTGGGAGAACCTCATCAGCCGATGGAAGCTCTACTAGTTCGCAATCCAAACCTCCAAGTCGAAAGATGTTCTCGTGCAACTTCTGCATGAGAAAATTTTTCAGCTCACAGGCTTTGGGGGGTCACCAGAATGCGCACAAGAGAGAAAGAGGTGCTTCGAGGAGGCCTCACCAGTCACAGAAAATGATGATGGGATTTTCCCTCTATGCATCTTCTCTCCAGTCTTTGACAGTTCATTCTCATTCACTTGTTCCCAAGCAACATCCAGAGAAAGGCATGTCTATTGTGCCAAGATGTTACCAAATCAATTCTGACATCCAAGTGACGAGGACGCCGTTTGCACTTGATGAAGCTAGAGGTTCAAAGTGGCCTGGAAGCTTTCAAAAGGTTTTTCAACCTACAGATCAACCATCAGAACAACAAAACCTTGACTTGAGTCTCAGGCTGTAGTTAATTCATCCATTACATGCCATTTCCATAACTGCCATTTGCTTGAAGTTTGTTCAGCTCATACTTCTTCATGAATCAGTTATGAAAAATTAACCTATCTGGGTACATTCTGCCATTATACTCAATTTCCAAGTTGAAGAAAAATAAATCTATTGCGATAAAGAAGAGTTAGCAGTCATCAATTTCTGTAAGTAATTCTTACTGCAATTGAGCCACCGATGGCTTCAGAGGATGTTGCCTTTATTATCAAGCTCATTTTTCGACCAGATTCTCTTGAGTTTGTTATCAAACTCAGTTTCTCCAGTTTCTCTTGAAGTCATCTTGAAGTAAAAACAATGACAGATAATAGGAACTGAGTCAAGCGATACTGGTCGGAATCATGGTTAAAGCACCAATTACTTCTTTTAATTACTTGTGCAAGACTCACACAAGAATACTCCAAAACCAGCAGCCGAAAAAAAAAGCAATGTATTATATCATTATATGCATAAAAGTCCTACATTTATTGGGATTAAGGAAGAGGTTGCAGTTCCATGACTAGATCTTTAGCTAGCCATTCAAAAATCAAGACTACAGGTTACCATTTTAGGCAAATTTATTGTGCTTCTGGTTTTAACCCTAAAGATCACATACTTAACAAACCGAGGTTGTAATATGTTTCTTCACCGTCGAGAAACAAATGAAGATTTCCGTATCCAAGCTTAGCTCAGACGCAGATAGCTTCTATTTGGATGTGCAGCAATGTGAAACCAAAGTAGGAAACAAAGATGTGATCCAGCCACACCTTCCAGAATGGCTACCTTGTTACGACTCCAATCACTGTCCCCGCCTTCAACATCCCTCTCTGATTCTGTCTTATTGGTGACATTGTTAGATATAATTCTGTTCATTCAGATTATCCAACCACAAGTGATTCTATGGATTACTAGGTAGCCACATGTACAAAATTATATTTTATACTCTCGTTGTTAAAAAAACCAAGTTAGCGATGATGTGGACCAGAGAATGATAGGTCATCTGATTCCAAATGTCACTTGGCAAAGCTCTTAAAAACGTGAAAGAGTTCTCTAATATTCAGATTCTGGAAATCCATCTACACTTAAGATTGTGATCCTCCCAAATCAGCAACAAAGATTTCTTACGGTGACAGAACCTACGCATGGATAGCTGGTAAACAAGACTCCTGGTTCCTGCCACTGCAAGGTCAGGGGAGGGCCAAACATATGCAGTTTCACCACAGCAAATAGATAGATTGTTTTGGCCACGACAGCCAGATAGTTTCATGCGACAAACTTAGTTTTGCACCAATACCCACAATCGACACTTACATTATAGCACTAAATAACAAAAAGATTTTTTTTGTCAAAGGGTAAGTGACGTAGGTGGAATTCGAGTCCAGGACTTTGAAATAAACTGTCATAAGTCCTTACCAACTAAGCTACCAGGCAACTTACACAAAGATAATTCTTTTGCCAAGAACTCCATTTCAAGATTTAAATGCTGCTTTGCTAGCAACAACAATACATTCTGTTAACAAGACATGATACGACGTAGTGCCAGCACGGTTGTAGCAGAGAGAAGGGGATGGATAAAGGAAGAAGTGAAAGAGGTTTACCTCACTTCTACCTGTGTTCCAATGAAGTCGCCATCTCCAGTGTCTCCGTTAGTGTTAAAGGGCAGGCAGCTCAATGACATCTTTTATATCGGTGCAGCTAATCTCTTCATAGTTATGGGCCCATAATCCAAACATGGCCAACAAGAACTTCGAAGCTGAAGCTTCTTCTGCTTCGAAGCCTGTACTCTTCGCCGTCATGAGCAAGCAATCAGTGGCCTCCTCCTTTCTCCAACTCCACCAAAAGAAACTTAACAAAGTAGAGGAAAAGACCACGATTCTTGATTGAACAAAAACAATGATTGAACTTTTATCACAAGAAACTCAGTCCCCAAGGCTCGAAACCTCGTACCTTGGGATTAGGTCTTCTCCTTGAAGCTGAGATTGAAGTTGGAATGGAAGTCCGCCATTCGCATACGGTGCTCGCTTCCCCCGCGGTTCTCTTATGGCATTAGGGTTCAAACGCCGATCCCGGTCCGGGTCGAGCTTGGGTGTACAACTGACCCGATCTAAACCAGGGAGTCGACCCAGTCCAACCGACCCGAGTCGGATGATATATATATATATATATATATATATATATATATATATATATATATATATATACTCATTAAATGTATAAATGCAGTAATCAACCACCAAATAAAATATTTTGGTTAATCTTTCATCTAATACTTTATTTGTAGCATTTGCTTGTATCTCATTAGATTTCCCTATCATTCACCTTGAATAGCAACACAATTTGGTCATATGCGAAATATATAAAATGTAATTTGTATTAGGAAAAGTCAGATAACAATACTTAGGGGCTCTTTAATAGTATGTTAAGTGATCATTGGATTTAAGATTATAATTAATGTTCAAAATAATTAAGTACATCATCATGTATATATACGTATCAGCGAGATGAGGACAAACGAACAAGAGAAGGTGGCAAACGTAAGTTATCCACCGTACCAAGTCTACACGCCTTCACTTCATCATGTTGATGTTATCATCCATCCCGATGTAGATATAACAACTCATGTATTCATTCTTGCATGATGGTATGGGCTACATGTATAAAGGTGATCATTTTTGTATTTATCCCATTGACTTTATAGCTATGAATTGTAGTTCGAGGTATTATTCTATGGAAAGTCTTAACACAGAGCTAAATATTCTGGTAACATATATAGTAAGTATTTCTGATATATATATATATATATATACATATCTTAAATTGATATTATTTCTATATATTCTTAATTTAAATTAGTTACTAATTACTAGTTATTCACATTTGAAAGGTATTACGAGGTTGTACTGATGAAATGTTTTTTTGTGTGTTGAATGTAATTTATTTTTTGTGAGGGAAAAAAATTGAGGGATGCATATACTAATAAATAAACAATTTATTTTTAAAATACGAGAAAACCCTATTTCCTAATTTACTATTTTCTATATTTTATTTTGTTACGAATTGCGCACGTGGACACGAGGAAGGAGGCCGAACTGTGGGAGCCACGAGGATAGCGCGATGTCGACGGGCGTAGTCCACCCGCCTGGTCGCCGCCTCCGAGTCACGTCATACGCACTCCTCACTGCGCGGGTGGGGCCGCCTCTCAGGAGCCCGTCGAGGTAAGTTTCCAACTCGTATTTTACTCGTCTCCCTGGATCATGTGCTTCGTCTCGAATACAGGATATCTGTTGGACCTATAACACGTCATCCTTTTGAGAGTGTGGTCCGCCGGTTTTGTGGTAGGGAAAAATGATCCCTGTCGGGAACTTGACAGGGAAGTTCACCAGGTCAGCTCCACTCCACCACTCGTCCACGTCCTCCACGCCAACTCATCATCACATGCCACGTTGGTTAGTTCCCAACGGCGGGGGACGCCGTCTTGGCTGGCGGATCTCGTTTCCCCGCACCCGCGAAGAGAGGCGTTGGTGATCCACAGATCGCGTAGGTTATCCACAGGGAGTGCGGGCAGCAGAACTGAGAAGAGGAGCTCCAGTTCCTTTACGCGACTTCTCCGTTGTCTCAGAGCTCGGCCATGGACTCTCCACTGAGACCCGAGGCGGCTCCCCTCCTCCAGACCCGGCCGGGCTCCAATGACGAGGCGGAGAGGGCCTACGACGCCGACGAGAAGGTGGTGATCTCCGTCTCTGAAGACGGCCGTTCGATGGAGGATGACGGCTCCCTCCCGCCCTTCTCGTGGCGGAAGCTGTGGCGGTTCACTGGCCCGGGGTTCCTGATGTCGATCGCGTTCCTGGACCCCGGAAACCTCGAGGGCGACCTTCAGGCCGGCGCCTGCGCCGGATACTCGCTCCTATGGTTGCTGTTTTGGTCGACCGCCATGGGGCTCCTCATCCAGCTATTGTCCGCGAGGCTCGGGGTGGCCACAGGGCGCCACCTGGCGGAGCTCTGCCGCGAGGAGTACCCACGGTGGGCCACGATCGCGCTCTGGATCATGGCCGAGCTCGCTCTCATCGGGGCCGACATCCAGGAGGTGATCGGCAGCGCGATCGCGATCAAGATACTCAGCGGCGGAGTGATCCCTCTTTGGGCTGGGGTGGTCATCACGGCTTCGGATTGGTTAAGATCTGTCTTTTGGGATTCTCAATCGTCGAGTCTTTCTTTCTTCCATGTTTGATCTTTATCTTTCTCTCTTTCTTTTTCTGAAGAGTAGGGAGCTCAATTCTGTTCCTATAACTTGGGATTGTTTAATCATAGGAAGGCACGTTTCTGTTTGATGGATTGTCTTACCTGGAAGTATTAGTTTAAGTTTCCAGGGCAAGGAAGCAGAGTTTGCCGATTCTAGTTCTTAACTTGGCTCAATTGAGCAAAACACCATATTCTTTATGGTTTTTCTTTAATATATGATAAGAATTAGGAGAACTAGTTGAATTTTTTAACATAAGTTCTTTGACTGATTTCAGATCCTGGATGCCAACTCTTTTTGCAACTTATAAAGAAAACAAAAATAGGGACTGTCCATGTTTGAAGTGATATCCTTTCTCTTATTCTTGTTCTTTCCAGGTCAATGAAATTATTTACTTTGACCCGAAACAAAGTTTATTTTGTTTTTTTGGTTGGAATTTTTTGCTTGACTGGTTTTACTTCCCACTAAATCTGGATATTGCTAATATATCTTTGGAGTTAGAAACTTTTTTTTGGAGGATGATGTCGGGTTTTGAAGAGTCAAGACTTCTGCTGATGGCAGTCCAGATCTTAATTTAAATAGTCAATGAGTTAATTGGGCTAGATTTGTACTCCTATAGCAAATGACTGGAGTATGGTAATTGATTTTATTCTGTTTTAAGCTTCAGAATCTCCATCAGAAGAGGTCTGCTTTTATTTTATGAGCTTCTTATAGCATACGAGAACAAATTTGGTCACTATTTGATGATTGCAAGTTCCGCCCATAATTGATCGGTTTTCCCTTCTGATTTCTGTTATGATTTCAGAAACTTTGGTTTAATGAACCTGTTGTGTTCAATCTCCTTGGCAGCTTCATCTTCCTGTTCCTGGAGAACTATGGTGTGAGGAAATTAGAAGCATTCTTTGGGGTTCTCATTGCAACGATGGCTGTCTCATTTGCCATAATGTTCGGTGAAGCCAAGCCCAGTGGCAAGGAATTTCTAATTGGTAATTAATTTCTAAGGCTTTTTCATAAAATGTTTTTGCTCAATGGTATTATTTTTTCTGGATTCTTATACGAATAGGACTAATTTACTGTACCCCTCACAGGTGTTTTAGTTCCAAAACTGAGTTCAAGTACAATAAGGCAGGCAGTGGGGGTGGTCGGCTGCATCATTATGCCCCACAATGTATTCTTGCATTCTGCTCTTGTACAGTCAAGAAAGATCGACAATAGCAAAACTAGTCATGTTAGAGAAGCAATGAGTTACTATTCCATAGAATCCACTGTTGCTCTTCTTATTTCCTTCTTTATCAATGTGTGTGTTACTACAGTTTTTGCAAAGGGATTCTATGGCACAGAAGTAGCCAGTTCTATAGGACTTGAGAATGCTGGGCAGTTCTTACAAGAAAAATATGGAGGTAAACTATTTCCTATTCTCTATATATGGGGTATTGGATTATTAGCCTCCGGACAGAGTAGTACCATCACTGGCACTTATGCTGGACAATTTATCATGGGAGGCTTTTTGAATCTTCGTTTGAAGAAATGGGCTCGTTCACTGATCACAAGAAGCTTTGCAATGTTGCCAACTATAATAGTTGCTCTTTTGTTTGACACTGACGACTCGGCCATGGATATATTGAATGAGTCACTTAATGTACTTCAGTCTATTCAGATACCATTTGCTCTAATTCCACTTCTTGCTTTGGTATCAAAAGAACAGCTTATGGGGGCTTTCAGGATCGGCCCCATTATGAAAGTAAGTTTTAGACTGTCTAAAGTTGGATTCATTTTGTGACTTCAGTGTATATCATTCGATTCTTGCATTGGCATTTTAGTTTATCTGAACTTTCTAGTATATCTAGAAGATGGTTTTCAACTGTATATTTCCTCTTATCATAATACTCTACTTCTGAAAGGAAAGTTTGTTGATAGAGATATGGATAGAACATAAATAGGTAAGTTACGGTTCTTACTTACCTATTCTTCTAATTATTCTATATGTATTGACTAAGTTTAGGTTTTTGTTTTTTAGGAGGGTTGCTTCCCAGATAATGAATTGAAATTGCAATTAGTAAGAAAGATCTTTCTCGTATCAACTGACCTTTAAGGTTGTGAATCGAGTTCTTCTCATGCTTGAAGATATCTTTGTCAGGAATCTAGGACCAATTATAGAGGTCAGATGCAAACTTGACAGTCTGCATAATTTTTTGTGAAATCATTAATGGAGTCACGGCAATTTTGACTGACCTTCTATTACGAGTCAAACACTGATGGGAAAAATTGAGGATAATGTGACGATGATGATGATATATTGCATGTTGTCACCATTGTTTAGCATTCTTATTTACTAACAAATATAAAATAAATATCTTTTTAAGAAAACAAATGATGGATATTAAATGAGGTGGCAGTAGTATTCTAATTCTGCATTTTAGTTTAAACTGGGAACAAAGTCTTAGGCTGCTGAAAGTGTTATGATATATGAGAAGGCTTTGGTAATTAGGGAACTCAAAAGGCCATAGAAGGTTAGGCCTCCATAGGTAGGAATGGCTCATAATTCTCGATAAGGCTATTTCAAGATGTTCTATCAGAAGTTAAGGCTAATTTTTTGGTTCAAAGTGGTCATCTTCTTTATTTTTCTCTTGTTGAGGATATCTAAATTGTAAATGCTAGCAGTGTGCATGTCTCTTAAATCTGGTTATTGGTAGATTAACTTGTCTAAAACATGTCCTGCATGCTTACTTACACTGCTTGGTTTTCTGATTCAGGTCGTGACTTGGATTATGGTGGGTTTTCTGATAATCATCAATGGCTACCTTTTGCTCGATTTCTTCACTGCTGAAGTTCATGGCCTACTCATCAGCTGTCTTCTCTCTTCTGCCTTAGCAATATATGTCATATTCATCGCTTATCTTGTATTACGGCATAGCGCCTTCTGCACTTCGGGTACCTTAGCAATCAATAAGGGTTTCTGCAATAGAAACTGAACGGCGTACCTTTGTTCATTTACATTCTGCAAGAAAGTCTCTCAGGAGAACTGAAACATAGTTAGGAGGCTGATATCAAGTTGGTGTCATCTTGTAATGCAAATTGTATCTAGATCATACAATCCACAACGTTATCCATGTTGCTTTCAATAACTCGGCCTTCGTCACGAAGACGGTGTGCATTGCTAGTCCCCTTCCAGCAGTTGCCTTTAATTTCTACTGTTAGATGGACTTTGTTAGTTCAAAAGTAAATAATCTGATGTACATGAACAGTTAAAAGTAAATGTAGTCTGTAACTCTTCATGGTGATATGTAATGTGACAAAATACGTCCAATTTCACTTCAGTTTGCCGTGTGGTGCAGATTATGTTATCTGGATATAGAGAGTGATTGATTCCACTTTAACTTGCCAACTATATTGTATTCCAGTTTGGCTAATTTGATGTCTATGTTAAAAGGTAGTTGCTTGAGATTGGTTGTGGATGAACATGCTTCCATTTTAGGTCCCTTTTTATAAGCATCCAAGCATGTGCAATTTGGTGGGTACATTATAATTGAGCATGCGGTCCCAATCAAATATGTTCTTACTTATCCTATATGGTTTTGGATAGAAAGAACTGCAAAGTATCAGTGAGTGTTTTTTTCGGTATATATACATACATACATACATACATATATATATGTATATATATGTATGTATATATATATATATATATATATATACTCTTTGGATTCCACTTAATCTGGTCTGAATATGGTTTGAATTGATGACCCGTCTGCAAATAAACAAAGTTAGGTTGAATCGGACAACCCAATTGTCTATTTAGGATTGGGGATCTTGTCCAAGTATCTATGCATGATTGCCATGCCAATTCCCAGACGACAAATTTGGTTAATCGAATCTCTTACATCACATCCGTTGGTGAGCCCTAATCGCGACGAGATGCGTGCAGTATCAAAAAGAGCAGTGGTGGGGATCCCGTACAACAAGCGGAGGGGAAGTCTAGTGGTTTATGCTCACACGGAATCCAGTCCCTGAAGGAGCCCCAACGCCCATCGGGTGCAATGGTCACTGCAAGTGACGATCGTACAATTCGGATCGACGTCCCTTGATTCCGGGCCGCTACCCATTTAACCCCGTAGCTCGTCTCCGCGACTCGCCTCTTCGCCTTCGACGGACCTGACCCGAGCCGACAGGACGCTTCCCCACCCCCCCTCTCCTCTCCAGTCGCCGATCCCATCCTTTCGCCGGCGCCCGACGCCCCATGGCGCGCGCGAGGGATCGGGTCGCGCCCCTCTCCTTCCTCCCCGGCCTCCTCTTCCTCGCGTCCCTCGCTGCGGGCGATGGATCACCGGAGCCCTTCCTCCAGACCCTCACCGGAGGTGGCGTGCCCTCGGCGATGGTTCTGCCTCTCGTCCTCTCTTACGCTAATTCCAGTCGCAGGTCCAACGTGGGCAGGCGTTTCGGCCGCCGGCAGCTCCAGAGGGAGGACCCCTCCACCGCCACCGCTCGCATGCGGCTCTACGATGATCTCCTCACCAACGGGTGAGGATTCCTCGATTCCTTGGAAAACATATAGCAAATTTTGCTTTTACGGTCTCTCAATCGTTTCTTTGCTTTTTTCTTTCTCGTTCAGATATTACACGACGCGCCTCTATATCGGAACGCCACCTCAAAAATTCGCACTGATCGTTGATTCGGGGAGCACGGTCACGTACGTTCCTTGCTCCTCTTGTGAGCAATGTGGCAATCATCAGGTAAGCAACTTCTACAGTCCCTTTGATTGGAAATAAACGGATATTCCCTCTTCTTCTTTTTTGTTTGATCGGTTATGAGGGTTTCCTTCTTATGCGAGTTATGTATATCAACCAAACATCTTTTTTCCCCTCCTTTTTCTGGTTGATTTAAGTTTTACAACTTGCAATTTATTGGATGGTTTGATCACTTTTGAAAATATTGAATTCTACATTTACTGGATTTCATCCCAAGGGTTTATTGTAGATGTCAGTTTGCCAAAAGTCAGCTTTTGGGTAGAACTATCCATGCTTGTATTTCCATGGCCAAAGTTGGGTTCAAATCCGAGGTAGACTGTAGTTCAATGTGCTCTGTTGTTCTGAAAAAATTCCAGCTAGAATGACCTTCTTTTTTTCTGAAAAAGTGAACTTGAAGGAGAAAATTTAGATGAGCTAATATATTATCTATGGGTAGTTACATTTGTTCCTTCTTAACTCTGTTATGTAAAACCAAGAATTACAAACTTAACTCTCTTTAACCTTGTACCAAATGTTAACTTAGTGATTGTCTTTACAGAGACAGTGCCCTGGAACTTCTCACTTGCGTGAGTTGAAGTTCCTGTAGTCTGTAGACATTTCATAGATCGTATTAGCAAGTACCAACCAAAATAACTTTGCAAAGTAAAGAAACTTACTTTGCCCACTAAGCTCTTATCTTAATAACACATTATCTTAATCAAATGAGTATTGTATGTAGTAGCAAAATGCTCAGTTCAATTCTTTTCCATAACTTAAGTTGTTAAAACTTTTTTATGTACTTTTCATCTCAATCCCAATGAGTTTATCAAATTTCCTCGAGCAGTTTGCAAATAGCATCAGTTCATCAGTTTGCAAATAGGCTAGTTATGTGTACTTTCTGATGTTTTCTTAATTTGTTGATTTCTAGGACCCTAGGTTTCAGCCTGATATGTCAAGCACATACGACCCATTAAAATGCAATGTTGATTGTACATGCGACAAGGAGAATATGCAGTGTCTTTATGAGAGGCAGTATGCCGAAATGAGCTCCAGCAGCGGGTTGCTTGGGGTGGATTTTATATCATTTGGCAAAGAAAGTGCACTTAAGCCACAACGTGCTACTTTTGGCTGTGAAACTTCTGAATCAGGTGATTTGTTCAGTCAACATGCTGATGGCATAATGGGACTGGGCCGTGGCCAGCTCAGTATCATGGATCAGCTTGTTGACAAAGGTGTTATAAGTGATTCATTTTCTTTGTGCTATGGTGGTATGGATATTGGTGGGGGTGCAATGGTTCTTGGTGGAATCACACCACCTCATGGCATGATTTACGCCCGTTCAAACCCTGGACGCAGGTATAGTAAATCATCAGTTTTAGCAATGGTCAAGCTTAAAGAGTTCCTCTGCAATTACATTTGATACAATTCCCACGTTTACTCTAGTTTTGGGATGGAAACAGCCCATATTACAACATCGACCTGAAGGAAATTCATGTAGCTGGCAAGCCGTTGCGATTAAATTCAAAGATATTCAATGGCAATCATGGAACTGTATTGGATAGTGGAACCACATATGCTTATCTACCAGAGGAGGCTTTCAGAGCATTCAGAGATGCTGTAAGTTTCCGCTCCACCTATATAAAGTATTCTAGTTTCATTTGAAAAGTATGTGTTAGTTCTCAATGATCCATTGACACTCTATGATGCCTCCACTGCCTTTGGGAATTATACAGATGCCTAAAGTAAATCATCCTACGTTGGTCATCAACCTATATATGAATTTACTTTCTAAAGAAAATTTTGGGTATCAAATCACATCAATGAAAACTTGAAATCTGCATGTTATACAAGCTTTCTTTGATGTGTTAGATCTTGAAAATGATGTATTTTAATAATTAATACCATTAAGTATTTAACTTGCTCTGCTGTTCCTATTCATCTGCCCATCTATGTAAAGTATGTGTTAGTGGCATTATGTTCATCAGAAACTTGAATGTGTGCTTATTTCTTGAATACTACTTAAAATTTCATATGGTTGAAGACAAAAGTGGAGTTGGCTTATTTAGAACAAAACTTGTAAAATCAACTAAAGTAAGGCATTTGCAGAGTTTTAGGAAGAGATTATCATTTGAATATGACATATAGGCCCAGGAACATGTTCTTATTTTTGTCTTGTAATAAAAATATTCACTGAGCATTCAGCATTGTTCACTTGTGGTTGAATATTTTTATAAATAAAATTAGAAAAATTCATTACATCAAATGACATACATGACGCTCACATGTAGACTTGAACTTGAGACCTATCACTTTGTGCAACAATGTACTAACCAACTCAGATGTCTTAATAAAAACACTTGTGGTTGAATCTTGAAGTTTATTTATTTCCAATTTATAAAGGCTTCATTAGTTCTTGTGATAATTCTAGAAGAAATCTTCTTACTCACTGAGCATTATGGATGTTTTGCTTATTATAGTCGGTTGTTGATCTTGATTCACTTCCTATTCCTCCAAAAAGCTTAATCCACTTAAGTTTTTATGATAATTGTAGAACAATATTCTACCCACCAAGCAATAGGCATTGTCTCTATCATGTGGTTAATTTTTGTTTTTGATGCTTCCTGATCCTTCCTAAAGCCTCACGCTTTTAGATACCGTTCCTCACTTTATGCTGTTCAGCCTTTGTTGTCAGTTTCCTGTTCTGACCACTGTCAAGTTGAATTTCATTCTTTAACAACTTCCTCGGATATTTTTGGTTCAAATGCTTTTCTCAATCCATGATTTTGTTGCTTAGAAATGTTGTAATTATAACTAAGCAGATTTTTTTGGATCAAATGCAAAATGTGAATCATATTTGTTTACTCTCCATGGATCTGGATAATGTAGGGAGCTTTGTTTCCATTCCTTATCCCTAATTTTGGCATAGTTATTGTTGTTAGTTTGTGGGATAGCTAGTCATTTTCATGATACTGGCATTTATTATGAGTAGAATCTCAATGTATTAGTTTGTAATGTTTTGAATTAATTATTTCTTGATAAATATTTGTTCGTTACAGATAATGAGTAAGCTACATTCTCTGAAGCAAATTCGTGGACCAGATCCAAACTATAAAGATATTTGCTTTTCAGGTGCTGGAAGGTAATGCACCTATTTTGGAGTAAGCAAATTTTGATGTATGTTTAATTATATGATATGTACCATGTACTGAAGAGCTACATTAAATGTTTCCAGTGATGTTTCAGAACTCTCGAAGACCTTTCCTGAGGTTGAAATGGTATTTGGAAATGGACAAAAGCTTTCTCTTTCTCCAGAGAATTACTTGTTTCAGGTAATATTGTTAGTTCTGTCATTAAGGAAATGTAATACTGGTGCCATTAAGATGTAGGTGATTCGGATTGATCTGAGTAGCTGATTTGTTTTATTTTCCTTTTCCATTTTCATGTTCTAAAATAAAGCACTCAAAGGTTCGTGGTGCTTATTGCCTCGGTGTCTTTCAAAATGGAAAAGACCCAACAACACTTTTGGGTGGTATGACTCTTGATAATTGATGATTTAGTCCATATTTGTAATGTATGCTTTTTTTGAGCTTTACTCGTACCATCTAGATCACTATAATGTAGTTATCTTATCAGTAATCAAAATTAAGGGACTTTAATCTGCTTTTCACTCCGAGCCTGATTAATTTCAAACTTCATTCACAAATTTAAATGTTACATCTTATTGGCTTGACAGATTTAGTTCATCTGACAGGAATCGTTGTCCGCAATACTCTTGTAACCTATGATCGTCAGAATGAAAGGATTGGATTCTGGAAAACTAACTGTTCTGTGTTATCGGAGAGATTACATAGTAATGAAGCTCCTGCACCGGCACCTTCAGTTTTCTCTGGTTCCAATTTAAGCATAGAAGAGTCACCAGCTCCTTCTCCTATTGGACTAGTGGACTCTGTACTGGCAGGTTTGTAAGTCTGCCTATTTGCATATGACTTTATTTAGCTCTGAATTTTCACCCTGCAGAATTCATCTAGGTTTAAACATGTAGGATTGTGATTAAAATTCTTTCATGATTATATTAGATAATCTAATCATTGCAAGAACAACCATCATCTGGATATGGAAATATGCTTTTAGTGAGATTTTATTCCCATTTCACGAAGTATGATTGGGCTTCTGCAATTAGATTACCTGTTCTTATTATCGTTTTCAGGTCAATTCCGAGTGGGGGTCATAACCTTTGACATGTTCTTGAATATTTCTTATGTGGACCTTGTGCCCCACATAAAGGAACTAGCAGAGCTAATAGCAAACGAGTTGGAGGTTGCTTCAGATCAGGTGGAGTAAACTATTGTATTCTGGGCCATGGTCTCATGAAAAAGTTCCATCCTTGTTGTGTGTGGTCTACATCATGGCCATGTTCATGACAATAGGCTCCTAGGCAGTAAGGAAGGATCATGGGGCAGCAGCACTATTTATTTTCCAATCTTGTTATTACATCTTTCATTTTTTGTTGTTTTAAAGTTATTTAAGAACTTGCTTTAAAATCTCTTTGTGGTTACAGGTTCATTTTATGAATAATACCAATAATGGGAATGGTACCTTGATAAGATGGGCTATTTTTCCCGAAGGATCCTCTAGTTCATTCTCTAATTCAACAGCAATGGTAATGTCATCATCTGATATCACAGTTAATATTATGTTGCAGAATTTCTTTATTTATGAGATAAAAGGAAATTGAGAACTTTCGTTTTCTGATGCAGGGAATAATATCTCGGTTGACTGAACACCGTGTTCGCCTTCCTGAAAATTTTGGAAGCTATAAATTGGTTGAATGGAATCTTGAGCCTCCTTCGAGAAGGTGCTGAAACTATTGGCTAATTTTTTTCTTGTTTGTATATTTTATTAATAATCATGCTTCATTTTATTAAACTGAGGTGTCTGCCTCATAAAAAGCTATCTAAAAATCTAAATACCAAGTACATGCAGTTTTTTGTCCGCTAGGAAGCTATCAAGTAAATTTTACAATGGTTTTACTTTTATAATTGTGAAACAAAAACTAAGAATCTGTTATTGAAGTAAAAGAAGTTCCTTTTGCAAAGGGCACAACAGTTTAATTTCGGAAAAGCTATAAAGGAATTCCATTTGTACATGTAACAATCTTTGACAGGATAAATTATTGAAGTAAAAGAAGTAGAAGCAAGAGAAGTAATAGTGAACAGATAAATATATGGATTGATGACTGTACATATAATGCATCATCATGTGCTAAATGCTTCTAGTACATACTTTGATGTGCTTACTAAAAGAAGTCCTTCATGAAAACTTGATGTTTCACTCACTCCTTGCATTCGTTTTATGCTTCTTTCTAATGTTATCATCTGCTGTGTCGTTACTGAGTCCAGTGTCTTCCATGAGATTTAGTTGAATTTTGTATTTCCCAATCACCGATAATACAACTGTTATGCAGATCATGGTGGAAGCGACATTTGGTTGCTGTAGCAATCAGTGTTTCCATGCTGCTGCTGCTTAGCTTCTCAACCTTCCTGGTTTGGTACATGCGGAGACGGAGAATTAGAGGGCCGGGTGCATACAGGTCAGTGGATGATGCTGTTCCAGAACAAGAACTCCAGCCTATGTGAGATCATGTCTTTTTAATTCAAGAAGCAGCCATGTAGATTCTACACCAGCAAAAGTATGATGAGATCAGAAGTCCACATAATTTTGCTCAAGCATGTTGCTGCCTGAAGTAGTACTCTTAGCTCAGCTGACAGAGGAATATGTGGCTGGAACCAGATGCAGATGAGGAGCTGCTCCTCCATTGGCTGATGATGCCAGTCTCTTTGTCACTCTTTCTTTTTCTCTTCTCTTTTCTTGGAAAGAATCGATACACGAGAATGAATGAGACCCATCTTAGATCTGATTGTGTATCTGCTTGTATAATCTAACATTACCAATCAAAACAACAGGGCTGTTGGGGACTTGAATTTTGCAGTACATAAGTGGATGAGATCTATTGATCTCATGTTCTCATTTGCACTGAAGAATTCACTTTTGACCGAGTGAGTTCTCGTGAGAAACACTTGGAAGCAAAAGAATTCACCTGGAAAGGTGGAAAGGAAGACCCCCTTTTGCCGTCCTCGCAAAAGCTTCATCGCATCGCATCGCATCTTTACCGGAGACCCACAACGGCAGGCAAGCCACAGGACATCCAACAATGACGATAACCTAATCACGCCACTTCCCGAGACAAGCTTACTGCCACGCCAACGGTCACCGCAAGCCCGTCGCCCTTTCTTGAAGTCCCAATCAAGAAAAGCAGAGTAAACTCGCAGTAAAAGCTCGCAACGGCAGGGAAAGGTGGGGGCCCACGACAGGGGTCAGGAACCGTTGGCGGAAAGCTAGCAACCTATACCATTACTGTACCACCTAAACCCGTCTGTTACCTCCTTCGCACCGGAATCCCGTCACCCCCGCGGCCGCGGGACCCGAGCGCGTTAATCCTGCCGAGCTGGCGTCCTGACTCCCCCCATGTGCTGCTGCGCCCCCGTGAAGCGTACTCTCTTTGCCCTCTGTTTAGCTATTTATCGTCACCCGTTGGATCAGTCACTCCTCGCTTCACTAACGCTCTTCACCCACCTCCCTCTCCTTCTCCTTCTTCTCGATGGATCGCCTCCGAGCAGTCTTCTGCATCGCCCTCCTCTGCCTCGCGGCCTCCGACTCCGCCGCACAGTCCCCCGCGGCCGCTCCCACCACCTCAGCCGCTGCCCCCTCCAAGTCGGCCACACCGGCACCCGCCAAAGCTCCCACCAAGCCCACCACCCCAGCCCCCGCTGCCGCGCCCACCAAGGCAGCCACCCCCTCCATCGCCCCCGTAGCCGCTCCCACCACCACGCCCCCCGCCACGGCTCCTACCACCCCCGCCACCGTCGCGGCCCCCGCCAAGGCGCCCTCGGCGGCAACCCCGACCTCGACGCCGCCGTCGCCGGCGCCGGTGACGTCCCCGCCCGCACCGCCGCCAACTACGTTGCTGCCTCCCGCGGCTTCCCCCATCCCATCGACCCCGGTCCCGGCCGCGGCGCCGCCGAAGGTCGCGGAGACGCCCGCCCCAACGCCGAGCAAGAAGAAGAAGAAGAAGACGAAGAAGCACGCCGCTGCCCCCGCTCCGGGCCCTCCGGCTCCGTCCTCCGAATCACCGGCTAGCTCGTCCGAGGCTGCCTCCCCGGGACCCAGCGTCGCCGCCGACCAGACAGTACTCTCTCTCTCTCTCTCTCTCCACATATATGAACACGCACACAAAAACCTAGATCCGACGAACCATGCTCACGATAGCCTACACTTGCGATGTTTCTACTAACGTGCACCGATAGCCCGCGGTGTACCGAAGCCGTTTGCATTTAATGCTGGAAAGGCAACGCCACACGGCGCATTTTAGCCGAAACAAAAGGCATTTTTGCTAATGTACGCACGCGAAACAGAAGCACTGCATCACTTCACAGGCTCTACTTGATTCATCAAGTAAGGGAAGCGATCACAAGCAGACAAATCTAATGCTTTCTTTTTCTTCTGTGCAACGATGCAGAGTGGTGCAGCGACGGCAAGAGGCCTGATCGTCTGGGTGATGGCTCTCCTCCTGGGGTTCGCCGTCGTCCTTGCGTAGATCTGAAGCTCCCCGAGACACTACATACAAGCGCTAGTTTCCTGTGCTTTCCTATTCCTTTCATTTCTGCCTCAGTGCTGTGTCGTAGTTACCGCATTCACTCGGATTCTTTTCTTTCTTTCTACTGTTGTCTTGAGGAGTCTGTGTGTGTGTGTGTGATTGTTGAAGATTAGTAGTGTATGTACCACATTTAATGATCCAGATCTACTTCTGCTCCAGCTGAAGGATGTTGGATCTCAGGTATGCATGCTGTCGATGACAGCTCCTGATGCATGCATAAAACACAAGACAGGAACAGCTCAGCTTGGTTACAGTACATGCAACTTAGTACACGATAAGGCAAAAAAAAAAAACCAAACATCATCTAATATATTTAACATCTAAAATGATAGTATATTTGATTTATTTATCAATGATTGAGATGATATATTTTTAAATATATAATTATAATAATAATATATTAATTTTATTTATTTATTTATAAATAAATTATTTAAAATATTATTTGATATATATTTTATATCTTAAATATTGACTTGATAGTAGTGATATATCAAACCCACTTATTAAATATTTAAGAGTTGTCAATAAAATCTTTGATAATTTAAATCTTTCCTTCGACACTTAACATGATATTGGAATAAATTACTGATCCATCTTAAGATATATGTGGATGAAATTGGTAGAGATTTGTGTTCATAGTATTGGATAAAGTTTTACATTAAATTGGACGAAGTTTAACTTGAATTTTATAATAAGAAATAATCCTAAAATACACCAACTCAAAAAATAATTATTCTGGAAAAAATACAAGCAACGTGTCTATATAAATTAGTAATATCTATACTCCAACAACTATAGTGGAGAATTAGGTTTGATGAAATTATCTTCAGAAAAGTGAATAAACAGTTAATTCGAATTTATTCCACATTTAGTGAGGAGGATTAGTTCAGGGTAAATTGAGCTCGGGCTAAGAGCATTCCAAATGATACATCAAAGGAAGATCTTGCGGCAATGGATAAGAAGGCCCGATCAAGCATCAATCTAAATCTCTCTGACGAGGTTTTACGGGAGGTAGCTACGGAGACTATCGCTAAGAGCATGTGGGACAAGCTTAAAGCCTTGTATATGAAGAGGACAGTGGAGAATCGTCTCTACTTGAAACAGAGTTTGTATATGCTTCGGATGACTGAAGGTACATCTATACTCTCACATCTTGATAAATTTGATTCATTGATTATGGATTTGGAGAATATAGATGCAAAAATTGATGACGAGGATAAGGCCCTATTACTCTTGTGTTCTCTTCCCCAATCTTTTAAGCATTTCCGTGATACTTTGATTTATGGAAAAGAAACAGTTTCGTATCAAGAAATTAAATCTGCACTGAAATCTAAGGAGCAGATAGATAGGAATATCACTGGGAAAGTAGAGGAAATCAGACTGAAGGTCTGGTTGTTAGGGGGAGAATGGATAAAAGAGAATTTGACCATAGTAGATCTAAATATAGATCTAAATCCAGACATAGAAATTTGGAATGCAGATATTGTCATAAAATGGGGCACATTAAGACTGATTGCTTTAAATTGAAAAATAAATTAAAGCAAAAGGGAAAACTTGTTGAGAAAACTACTGAGTCCGCTGAAGCTAGTGTAGCATCTGATGAGAATGTTGAAAATATTTTCTTTGTACTGATGACATGAATGAATTTTAGATTTAGGTTGTTCTTATCACATGTGTCATAATAGAGATTTGTTTTCCACATATGAATCTTGTAATGGTGGAATTGTTTTGATGGGCAATAATGCAGCATGTGATATTATTGGTAGAGGAACAATCCGAATTAAAATGCATGATGGTATTGTGAGGACGCTCACTAATGTTAGACATGTTCTTGATTTAAAAAAGAATCTCATCTCTTAAGGCACCTTAGAGGCCCTTATTGTTATGAGAGCTTGTAGGTCTGGTAGCTTATATATTATGCAGGGAACTACTGTCACAGGCTCAGTTAGTCTCGTCATCATCATCGTCTAATTTTGACATCACCAAATTATGGCATATGCGTTTATGTCATATGAGTGAAAAATGTTTGAGCATATTGAGCAAAAGAGGTCTACTTTGTGGACAGAGTATTGGGCCACTGGATTTTTGTGAACACTATGTTTTTGGAAAGCAGAAAAGAGTCAGCTTCAATTCTCCGGCAGTTCACAAAACAAAAGGTACTCTTGACTATATTCATTCAGACCTTTGGGGTCCAGCTCATGTTCAGTCTAAGGGTGGTGCCAGGTATATGTTGACTTTCATTGATGATTATTCCAGAAAAGTTTGGGTTTATTTTTTGAAGCATAAAAATGATATTTTTCTAACCTTTAAACAATGGAAGGCTTTGATTGAGAAGCAAACAGGTAAACAGATTAAGTGGTTTTGAACAGATAATGGCATGAAATTTTGTGAAGGTGACTTTGATGAATTCTGCAAAAATGAAGGAATCGTTCGGCATCGCACTGTTAGGATGATGCCTCAACAAAATGGTGTGGCCGAACGTATGAACATAACACTCTTGGAGAGAGCAAGGTGTATGATCTCAAATGTAGGGTTGACAAAGGTCTTTTGGGCAGAGGCAATTAATATAGCCTGTTACGTTGTCAACCGCGCTCTTTCTGCAGAACTTAACTTTAAAACTCCAGAGGAAGTTTGGTCAGGTACTCATGCTAATTATTTTGATTTAAAAATTTTTGGGTGTCCAACATACATGCATATAAATGAAGGAAAATTAGAACCTCGAGCTAAAAAGTGTATTTTCCTTGGGTATGCTTCTGGGGTGAAAGGATACAGATTATTGTGTTATGATCCCAAATCCTCAAAATTTGTAATCAGTAGAGATGTTACTTTTGATGAATTATCTATGTTATCTTCTAAAGAGAATTCTACTAGTTGTACAAATGATAGTGCGCAGAAGCAGGTGGAGCTTGAGATTGGTAGGTCTGATTCTTTTCAGTCGAACTCTTCTACTCAAAGAATGCCAGTAGATGGTCCCGAGTCTACTAATGCAGATGATCCAGAGGAAGAGCAATTTTCCATAGCCAAGGATAGACCACAGAGAGATATTCGACCACCACAAGGATATGCAAATTTGGTTGCATATGCTTTATCTGTTGCAGAAGAAACAAGTGGAGTTGGTGAGCCTACTACCTACTCAGATGTAGTTTCTTATGATAATTCTATTAAGTGGTTGATTACGATGAATGAAGAAATAGAATCTCTCCATCGAAATAGAACTTGAGATCTTGTGAAGCTACCTTCGGGTAAGAAAATTGTTGGATGCAAATGAGATACTATTGCTGAGAGAAAGGTCCTTATTCAGAAAATTCATACGAAGGACAATACAACTGATATGCTTACGAAGCCTCTTCCAATTTACAAGTTCAAGTAGTGCTTGGACTTGGTTGGTGTTTATTGTTGGTGATTGCCCGTTGGGGCTTTTATGAAGAAGGTGGAGCAAGTTTTGTTGGGACATGTCAATGTGGAGATTTGTTAGTTTGGCAAGTCCCATAGTCCCACATCGGGAAAATCAGGCTTGTTATCTCCTATTGGAATTATAAATAAGGGTCTGGGCTTTGAAGTCAGATACACCACAAGTAGCACCACAAGAAAAACCTAAGTGTTTGCTTTGGGTTTAAGTCCATACTCAGTTAAATAGTTTGGGCTTATAGTTGAGGTTTTTTTGTTTAGTATTTTCGGGTGTTTTATGGCCTAGGAACATCTTCCTAAGGCATTTGTAATAGTCTCTTTTATAGTAGTGATTTGCTCCTTCTTCGTCCGTGGATGTAGGTCAAGGTTAATTGATCGAATCACGTAAATCTGGTGTTCTTGTCATTTTTATTCTTTCCGCTTTTTTGTCTTTGTCGGGTTGCCAAAATTACCATTTGGTAAATTTCCTAGGACTAACTCTAACAGTTTCGTCTTCTAGACGAAATCATAAATGATGAATATTAGAAAGCATCGAAGAATTAAGAAATTAATAAGATGGATAAATTGGAGAAAACATACGACGTAAATAGGAAACGAAGATCAAGTTCTTATTATTTTTATTTTTATTTTTAATTTAGTAACTTATTTAAATTAATATTCAAAATTATTTTTTATATTTAGAGATAGGATTAATTATATATTACTTTATCATTAAAATTAAAAAAAATTATATTAAAATCTTTATAATTTTGAAAGTCAAACAAATATCTTATTTATCTTTAACCTCATAATGAAAAACATAACACATCAAAGTGATGAGCAAAATATAATTTTATTTTTTTTCGTTTCTAATAATTTTAATCCGACATTAGTTCTCCTACATTAGTATATTTAAAAATATGAACTTCAGAGGGAATATATTACAAATTTATCATTAGTTAAATTGACCGAGTCGAACCGCGTGTTTCTCGATGTTCCATGTCATGACATGACAAAAAGGTGACGCGACTTGACTCGATGCCACCTTCTTGCACGAACAAATGCCCCCTTCCACACGCCACAGTGAAACCATTTTACCATTATATATATATATATATATATAATATATATATATATATACACACACAATAATTTTCACATTAATTCCTGACAATTTGTGTTATTATATAATAGAATTACAATTTTGCCCCCAAAACACGCATAACCAAACCCCCCACCTTTCCTTTCCGCCCTCGTTTTTTGACTGCTGACTTCTCATCCACTGATAAAAGGCCGCTCCTTTGACCCTTCGGCAACGAGTGCTCTCCCCACTTCTCCACTTCCTTTCTCTTCATCTCGGTACCTGCCGCCCTCCTCCATTCCTGCTCTCTTTCTCGGATGGCTCTTCTTCCGGTGGCGCTGCCCTGCCTCTCCTCCCTCCTCCTCCTCCTCCTCCTCGTCGCCTCGCCGGCCTCCTCCAGCAACTCCGAGGGTGAGCTCTCTTTCTTTCCTTGCCGATCTCGGAATAAGAAAGATTAGAGGTTTTCTGACTTGGTTGATGGGCTGGGAAACAGGAGAGGCGTTGCACGCATGGAGGACGCGGCTCACCGATCCCACCAACGTGCTGCAGAGCTGGGATCCCACCCTCGTCAACCCCTGCACCTGGTTCCATGTCACCTGCGACTCCCAGAACCGTGTTATTCGCATGTAATCCCTTCTTCCCGGCCCTTTGTCTTCTCAAAGACCCCACCTTTATGCCCTCTCTTATTGGAAAAATATGACCTTTGTTTGTGTTTGTTGCAGAGATTTGGGAAATTCCAACATCTCCGGCCCTCTCGCCTCCGAGCTTAGCCGCCTGGAGCACCTGCAATACCTGTAAGCGCTAGCGAACCTTTGTTTCTCTGTTCTTCGTTGTCAGAAAGTTTGGATCTTCATTCATGGACGATGTGGTTTCTTCTGGTTGCAGGGAGCTCTACAGGAACAACTTCGAGGGCAAAATCCCTGCGGAGTTGGGCAATTTGAAGAGCCTCATCAGCATGGATTTGTATGAGAACCGACTGCAAGGAGAGATTCCAAAGTCCTTTGCCAAATTGAAGTCACTTAGATTCTTGTGAGTTTGTGTTTTTCTTTGCTGGTCATATAAAATATTATGTTTCCCTTGTCGTAAAAACATTTCGGAGTCAGAAGAATTTATTCCCTTCTTTGGCTAATTCTCGTCTCACTTTGGTGACAATTATTTTCACAGGCGGCTAGACAACAACAGGCTTTCCGGAGCCATTCCCAGAGAGCTTGTTTTGCTTTCAAATCTCAAAGTCTTGTAAGAAACAATGGCCTATGATCCAAGTTTCTGGATTCTGTGCTGTCATTATGGATTTAGCATTGAAAGGTCTCTTTCATTTGTTTCAGGGATGTTTCAAACAATGATCTTTGTGGAACCATTCCAATTGATGGACCATTTGCAAACTTTCCTCTTCAGAGGTAACGGTTTTTTCTAAGTGAAAAAGAAAACTTACCACTAGCTTGGTTTCCTGAATCTTCCATTACATGCCCAATATTGATGGAAGTGGAGTCAATTAGATGACCTCCTTATTTGATTAGGCTCGTAAAGGGCATATTTGCTGGAATTGATGTGCCAACATAACTTCTGTCATATTTTGAAAAGTTCTTGTTGAAAGTTTTGTGGTCCTACCATTGTTGAAATTGTATCATTTTTCAATCTTAATTGATAAAAAAATCCCATTAGTTTGTTAGGTCTAAAATTATATGAGCTAGAATGCTTAAACCGAAGCTCATAATAGTATGCCCTTGTTTGATAAAAGAATTGACTCTATTTTGGTAGGTTTTGAACCATGTGTCCCATATTGCCTAAGCTCAAGTTAAGAGTAGTATATTTATCCAACCGGTATATGATCATGTCCATCACTTACTTCCGAGACGAGACAAGGACATCAAGGTCATTCAAGTGGAAATGGAGCTCATGTCCTGTGCCAAGGCTACCGGTGTTGTCTTTGTGACACATGGGTGGCATGAGTTTATGCCTTGTCAAGCCGTTCACTGAATATGTGTAGGCCTGGTCAAGCACCAGAATAGTGTGTTTTACAGTGCCCATCGTGCTCTCAGACACTTCCACCTGTGTGGTTGTATTGTTGGCATGCATGTAAACTTTGTGCTGACTGGCAAACAACCATTGGGATTGGCAAGAAGGATGTTCTCAGTTCGTAGGCAGGTCAATTGTATGTTGTAATACCAGTGAGCTTACAATTTGCGAACCTCATATGGCTGGTCAGCCAGCCATTAAATCACTTGGATTTACTGGTCTATGATCATGGAATATCCTGTTATATCGTGAAAGATCCTTCAGGAATTTGCCACCCTATTTAAGAATCAATCGTGATGCTTACTCAAACTGTTGCTGACCATTTCCAAAAACAAAACTCAATCTGTAAATTGTATGACTCATTACTAGACAAGCCATTTAAATGGAGGTGTTGATCTGGTTGTGAAAGGTGAGTGCAGATTTATGAGGCTACTTCTTGCTCCTAGTCAAACCTGTGCCAAAAAAATTCCAGAAGATAGTCAAACAAATATCTCATGTACATAGTTCTTAAATTGAACACTTTTTCAATGACAACACATTGTATAGGTTGAGTGGTTGAGGAGTTGTGGTTTACGTCAGAGTTCTAACTTCTAAGATGTTGGAACCACTGATGATTGCTGCCTCTTAATTGTTATCAGTCCAATAGGGTTAGAAGTTATTTCTTCTTTTCTTTCATGAGAACTTTATCCTCGAATAATTTATTTGATTATATAGGTGATTGGCAGTTGCAATCACGTTGCAATTTAGAAAGCAATCTGGAAATTCTCGTTCCTACTAGAAAACTGGGTAGGAGGATTAAGTAAACACCATTATGTTTTTGCATATCATGATATCTGCATTCTTTGGACCTGGTCGTCGTTAACCTAAAAGCATAGATGATTATTATACTGATGTTTTGTGGTGACTATTGTTTTGTACATGCCTCTTTCCGTAGACAAAGTTCTGAGTTGCCGAAGTCATTTTTTGAGCTTTTAATTCTTATGTTTATTATACTTCATCTAGTTCTAGTCTAACAAAGTTACTCTCCCACTCGATCATAACATGGATGTCAAGTTTCTCTGTTTACTAACTAAAAATGTATTCTTTGGCATTTCAGCTTTGACAACAACAGTAGACTTAATGGACCGGAGCTACAAGGACTCGCCTCCTATGACTTTGGCTGTTGAATCCAACATGTACCAGCTTTGAGGAGTATGCTGCGATTGGGTGATCACAACTGCTTTCAGACACACAGGAAGATGGCTATAGTTTAGTGGTTATACAAATCTTGGATGACCAATAATCTGATATATGTAGTGTTTAAAATGTTATGTAGCAAAAGGATCTATGCCACCAATCCACATAGAATCGAAATGAAGACAAAACTTGAATTATCATAAAGATTGCAGTGTGATTGTCTGTTAATGCTGATGACAGAACTATTTGCTCGAGTTCAAAGGAAAATGGCAGAATGTTACATGTTCTTGTGTTGATTGTGGACGTTATACTTGGATCTAAACCCAGAGAAAGATTGGGTCTCAGAAACCAAAACATGCCATCTGTATTGACTGAGTGTTAAAAGCAGGTTCTGATTGTCCGATTCGGAGCAACTGAGTTCATATTTTGTGTCCGTCTTAGCGTCGAGTAAAAAGGATCTGAGATCATTTGCATCGAACCTTGTAAAATTGCGTTGGGATGATTCCGACAAAATTCCTTTGAATTGACATGACATCATGAGATATTGACATGACATCGATACGTCAGTATGAAGCTACACCCGTATCATTGGGGAAGCTGTGAAGTGGCAACTCTTTGCCTGAGATCCCCTCAAGCACAAGACTTTGAGTGCCGGCTGGTTTGATGCTTGTTAATTCTTGTTCCTCTATCAGTTCTGCCTATATGGATCCAATGCTGATGATCTAAGCTACATGTCTTGTTGGAAATCAGAATGATTATTATTTTTATATTAAAATAAGTTTTTTTATTAAAATATTAATTTATTTTCGAAAATAAATATTAATCAAAGGACATAAACAATTGAACAATGAACCAATCACAAAATGAACACCAATTTTTTATGAGAAAATTTAATATGAGAAAAATCATGAGATCGTAATCCACTTTCAACGTTCACTATCATCAATAATGATAATAAGTTTATAATAAATCTTCTGTAGAATAACTAAAGAATCATAATAACATCAAGAACATAAATCTTAGTTCAATAATAATATATTATAAATTTCTTCGGAGAAAGATCTAAATCTCATTAAATAAATATATCAGAAAAGTATCTAAGAGAGAATAAATTATAGATCAGCAAATTAGGATTGTAGAGGTTATTGTAAGAATTTTCTAAGATTTGAGCTAAAATTAATGAAATTTAACAATTTAATTATTTAGCAGAAGCTTCAAACCTAATTTTCTCTCTCCTCTATCTGTTTTTTTTTTCTTTTCTTTTCTGGGTTGTCACACGTTTTGTTGTTTGGGGCAGTCTCCACTTTTCTTTTTTCTTTCTTTTCCTTTCTTTTTGTAACAAATTAGATTTAGGCTTAATGATCATGTTATTTAGTCCAAGCCCATCCGAACTCAATAATTCTCTCTCTACAGCTCATATGGTGGACTGTACTAAATCCAATCTTCGCTTGTATGCTTTAAGCTTCTCCTTAAGCAAAGACTTTATCGACATATCTGATTTATTTTCATTTATATGTACATTTTCTAAGTATAATTCTTTCATATAAAGTACATCACAAATCCAGTGATATCTTATGTCAATATGCTTGTATCCAGAATTGTATGTTTAATTCTTGGAGAGGTGAATGATACGTTGACTATCACAATAAACCGTATAACTTTTCTATTTCAAGTCCAATGTAGAAACTTTTTTATTTACAAATCTTCCTTTCAGGTTTCAGTAATTGCTATGTATTCTACTTCTGTGGTTGATAGAGTAACATAATTTTGTAACTTTGATTGACAAGATACTGCTCCCTCTGCAAACGTTATTAAGAACCCCAAAGTGAACTTCTTGGAATCAGTATCACCTACCATGTCTACATTTGTATACCCCTCTAGCACAGGTTCACATTGCTAAAACATAAACACAACATGAAAGTATCTATTAGATATTTTAATATCTATTTCATTGTTGTCCAATATTCTTTACTAGGATTAGAGAAAAATCGATTGATAACTCCAACTGCATGAGCTATATTTAGCATAGAACAAATCATAACATGCATCAACCTACTAACCATCATAAATGAGTAAGACACTCTAGAAATTTCTTCTTTTTCTTTCTCACTTATATGATATTATTTTGAACTAAACTTGAAATGACATAAGTGGAGAACAAACTGCGGCTTTGCTCATGTTGAATCTTTCAAGAACATTTTTAATGTAGGTCTCTTGAGATAGTCAAATCTTCTTATTCTTCCTGAAGAATCTTCATATCAAGTATTTGTTTCGTCGATCTTAAGTATTTCATGGTAAAAGACTTACTTAGCTCTCTTTTAAACTTATCAATTTTACTAACATTATGACCAAAATCAACATATCATCAATATATAGTAGGAGAATAATGAAATTATCATCTGAAAAACTTCTTTATAAACATATAATGATCAAATATGGATCTATTATACTATTGGCTCATCATAAAGGAATCAAACTTCTTGTATTACTATCCGAGTACTTGTTTGAGTCTATATAAGCTTTTCCTAAGCTTGCATACTAGATTTATTTTTCCTTTCACTTTAAAACCTTTTGGTTGCTCAATATAAAAGTTTTCTTTTAATTCACCATAAAGAAATATAGTTTTCGCATCAAGTTGCTCAACTTTTAAGTTCAAGTGGGCAACTAAGCCAAGAACAACTCAAATATATGATATTTTCATCATATGAGAAAATATATTTCTTCAAAGTCAATACCTTTTTTCTGACTGAATCTTTTCACAACTAGTCATGACTTATATCTTTATTGTGAGCTATTATTTTTGGTATTCAATTTATAAATTTATTATTCTTAAGAGCTTTCTTCCCTTTATGTAATTTTACTAAGTCATAAGTATGTTTCTCAAGCAAGGATCTCATTTCTTCTTGCATGGCTTTAACCCACTCATTCTTATATTCATGTAGAATAGTTTCTTGGTCAATTTCTAACTCTACCTCATCAATAATCATAACATACTCATGTGGATGATATCTTGTAGATGGTTGTCACTTTTTATGAATCTTCTCAATAGAATCTCAACTGATGGTGGAGGTCATTGTTTAAATTGTTTAGTTGGTTCAACATCATCAACTATAGAAGTATCATCATTAACATTCTCACCATAATCTTCTTATTCATCTCCCCCATGATTATCATAAACTATAGGTGGAGGGACTAGACCCAAAATCCAAGAGATATAAATATATATTTTTTACTTCTCAATATTATCACCATATCAAACAATTGGTCTTCAAGAAACACAACATATCTACTTCTAATAATCTTCTTGTTCACTAGATCCCATAATCTGTACTCAAACTTTTCATGACCATACATTAAGAAAATATATGTTTTTACCTTATTATCAAGCTTGGACCTCTTATCTTTAGGAATATAAACAAATACTTTGCACCCAAAGACCCTCAAGTAATCATAAGAGATATTTTTTCCTTTCCATACTCTTTTTGGAATATTATCTTTCAAAGAAACCGATGGAGAAAGATTTATCAGGTCAATTGTAGTTTTTATAGCCTCTCCCCAAAATGACTTAGATAACTTGGTATAAGAAAACATATACATAATCCTTTCTTCAATGGTTTTATTCATCCTTTCTATTACACTATTTTGCTGAGGAGTTTTAGAAACTATTTTCTCAAGTTTGATATCGTGAAACCTACAATAATTCTCAAAAGAACCCCCCACCATTATATGGTAGAATACATTTTAACTTTCTGTTAGTTTTTCTTTCAACACTGACATAAAACTCTTTGAAAATATCAAGTACCTAGTTTTTAGATTTTAAAGCAAAAGCTTAAATTTTTTCTAGAATGATCATTAATGAAATTAATAAAATAAAGAGTATATCTAAGAGTTCTAGTTTGCATAGTATAAGCATCAATGTAAACTAAATCAATAATATTTGATCTTCTAGATGGTAGATAAGTATAAAAGATAACTCTATACATTTTTTTAACTAAGCAATGATCACAAGATTTAAGAGATGTATTTTGTAACTCTGATAAGAATTGCTTTCTAATAAGAGTTTGAAGTCCCTTCTTACTGATATGACCAAGTCTCTTATGCCAAAGATATATGTTTTCATCATTTTGGATTGCATTAATCTCTTCTTTGTGTTGCTTAGCTTTCATGACATAGAAAAAGTTTAGCTTCTTTCCTCTCGCTACAACTTTTAGTGAGTTTCCATTTACTTTCACTAAAATAGTATGTAAATCCCTCATTATTAAGTCTGCCTATAGATATCAAGTTAAGATAAATATCTGAAATATGTCTAACATATTTGAGTATTAATTTGCTCCCAGTACTAGTCTTCAAATAAATATCTCCAATAAACACAATCTTAAATGTACCATTGTTTCCCATTTTGACATCTCCAAAATCACCAATAGTGTAAGATCTTAAAAAATAACCATGAGAAGTAATATGAAATAAAGTACCAGAGTTAATTACTCAATTATTGTCCTGAGCTGCAAGATTGATACATCCTTCATCACAATCAATAACGATATCACCTTCAGCAACAACTATATTGGTTTCTTTCTCATTTTTCTTCCTTTCATTTTGTTCTCACTTCCAAAACCTACACTCTTTCTTTATATGACCTAGCTTATTGTAGTGAAAACACTTGATATCTCTTTTAGACTTGGAATTTTCTTTATAACCATATGAATTTCTACTATGACTTCATCCATGTCTTTCTTATTTTTCAATAATAAGTGTATCAGAAGAAAATTCTCCTTATTCTATTCTTTTGACATCTTCATTTAGTAACATGTCTTTAACCATGTCTATGGTTGGAGCCCTCTCTAGCATGGAGTTAGAAATTATCACTGCATATGTTTCCCAACTTTTTGGTAAAGAGTTGAGAAATAACAATCCTTGTATCTCATCATCTATATTCATTTTTATAACAACCAATTTATTTGCAAGACTTTGAAACAAGCTTCTGTGCTTAATAATATTACCACCATTTCTATATTTTTAAATTGATAAGTTTTCTAAGGAGAGAAATTATATTTCTCATTATCTTCCAATATAGGCAATAGCTTTTCTATTTTGAACCTCTCATTCCTAATCTTCAATAATAGATGGTTTGTCTTTAATTTTGATAGGCTTATATAAATCTTTGCAATAAAGTAAATCTTTCATCATGTACCTCCAAGTCGAATAATTTGATGAGTTCAGTTTAATCATACCGTTTGATTCTTCTATTTCAATTACACAAGAAAAATTAGCACCAAACAACTTGAAGTTATTGTTGAAAAAAATTATTATAACAGAATAATTCTTTTCTCTATTTGTATATCAAAATGAGTTCCTCATCAAAATATCAACTTATTACCAAAAGTAAATATTAACTAAAATAGCATAAATAGTAGAACAATTAACCAATCACAAAGTGAGACACTAAATTTTTATGTGAAAATTTTAATGCAGAAAAAACTACGAGATTTAGTCTACTTTAAACCTCCACTATCACTAATAATGATAATTAATTTACAATAAATCTTCTTTAGAATAACTAGAGGATCACAATAACATCAAGAACATAGATCTTGGTTCAACAATAACATATCATCATCACTATAGATGGATTTCTTCAAAGAAAATATCTAAATCTCATCAAGTAGGTATATTAGAAAAGTATCTCAGAGATGATAAATCGTAGATCGATACTATTAGGATTTAAGAGCTTATTGTAAAGATTCCCCACATAAAATTTGAATCAAAATCGATGAAATTTAACCGCTTGATCATCTAGCAAAAACCTCAAACCTAGCTTCCTCTATGCCACTGTTTTGTTAACAAATCAGATTTGGGCTCAATGGCCCTATTGTATAGTCCAAGCCTACCTATGGGCTGGACCCAACATATCTTCTTCTTCTTGATTGTTGCTTCTAGTTACGCAAGTGTCAACGCTTGATCTAATGACCTTCTTATAATATGTAAAATTGGGATTGGAAAAAGCTATCACATCCTATATTTGGATCATATTAGTATCGTGATCTCTGTACTTAAAAAATTTATATTAGGATTTCTATAATTTTGAAAGTGAAATAAAGAATCTTATTTATTCTAATGTCATAAGTTACATTTATGAAAAACACAACACGTGACACTACATTGTTGTATCGACATAAAAGTGATGAACAAAATGATAATATTAATATTTATTTTATTTTTTATTGATAAAATCATCGGAAGAGATGTTAAAATTATTTTTTTATTTATCACTTTCGTATTGATGTGATTGATGTGGTGTCATACGTTATATTTTTCATCAATACAACTAATAACGTTATGATAAATAAAATTATTTATTTTATTTTCAGAACTCATTATAAATTTTTTAAAATACAGTAACTACGTTACTAATGCTGTCTAAATACAAAAGATAATATATAATCAACCCCTACCGACTCCACCGGGTGGTCCTATTCAACCGTTCGTCGTAATGTTCCATTGGCCTTCTCAAACAGGCATTGTGGTGTTTCCATTGTGTTGCACCCGTCCGATCACGGATGGACGGCTGATATTAATAGATGGGGGCAACCGACAGTTGGATCCCTTGCTCCCAGTTGGGGGTCGGTCAAGATTAGGGTTTCTCTGGGACCCATATAATCCGAACACTCCCCCTCGAGGCTGCGACGGTGAGAGATTGGGGTTCGGCGCGATCGACCTTGAGAGTTGCGTGACGAGAGAGATGGGGCATTCGAACGTCTGGAACTCGCATCCCAAGAACTACGGCCCTGGATCTCGAGTTTGGTGAGCGATTTCCCTTGCTTCTGCTACCATTCTTCGAATTTGGTGCTTGTCATCGATTGACTTGAGATTTTGCGATCTCCGTTTGTTCTTACTTAGATGATGTAGTTTCTTTAGCCGAGTTAGTCAAAGATGAGATCATCGGAAGGTGCATATATAGGTTTAGTCCTTTCGCTTTCTGTAGTTGGAAGACGATTCAAATATTATTTTCTTCTGTAGCTTCAAAGTTGGGATTTTTATTCATTACTCGATGCACCTTCCTACAAACCTCTCGTGTCTGCGTTGTGTTATTCAAATTTGTTGTGTTTAAGGGGGATTTATGTCAATCCTTATTGTCCAAAAAGAATATTTTGCTGCTGGAAGAATATTTTTTTCTGTTGTCACATAGAAAATGAAAATTAACATTATAAGTGCATAGTATAGAGAGTTAATAGAATTATTTAAGCTGAACCATGACAAGTTACAGTAGTTTTGGACTTGTATTAAGCTGTTTTTGTGCTTCTTGACCTTTTAAGTGATGTATGATGGTTGAAAGGTTTGAATTACAATTTTGAGATACTATTAACTTGAATTATAATGTTCAAGCTTTTGTTTTGTGCCTCGTCTGATGATATGTAATCGTCATTTTTGTTTGTTCCAGCCGGGTTTGTGGGAACCCTCATGGACTGATCAGGAAGTACGGGCTTATGTGTTGCAGACAGTGTTTCCGCAGTAATGCCAAAGAAATTGGCTTCATTAAGGTAGTCTTATACTCACATCCAACGTGTACCTCAGACCCTGTATTGGGTTGTGTCGCTTTTGTCCTTTGCCTTCCTGAATGTTTTAGAATAGTGGTTAATGAAATTGCTTTTCTGGATGTTTGGTTTATTGGAGGAAGTTTTCCATTTGGTTGATAAGATTAAGATTTACGTATGTGATATTTGTTTTTCTGGAACTTAATTATGTTTGTCATTTCAAATAGATCTTTAATCATAGATCTTCTCATTTTAAATCTACTTCATAAAAGAGTTTGTGAAAGGATTGGATAAAATTTGATTCTTTGAGGAAGTTATCTTTTAATAGTTTATTTGTATAGGTAGGCAATGAAGTAATAGAACTTTTCAAATAATTTTTACATTGTAAAATCTTTAAAATAGAATTGCCATGTCACAATGATTAAGTTATTCTGGGATTTTTTATTTATCTTCATATCTAATGTTGTCATAGATCTCGACAATATTCTGGTAACAATTATATTTCAAATATCCGGTAGATTTTAGCATTTCCCATTTTGGTACTGTTGATGTTTCTCTTTGTTTACCGTCACGTTCGTACCCTTCCTTTATCATTTTTAGATATTCAACTTCTCGTGCTGGTTGCTAAGATGCATTTTTCCTTTCCCTTTCCATGCTAATTTGCACTGTCTTCACTAGTATGGTCTATGTCCCTGTGAATAATCTGAAAAGAAAAGTGCTGTCACTGCACTTATGACTTCATAAACAGCCTGTAAACATTACAAGATCGAAGTGTAGCACTTGAAAGATCATGCCATTAGTTGAAGTTATGCTCTTTTAGGGTGCTGCTAGTTGCCTTGGTCGTATTGCAAGTGCTCTATAGTTATGAAGGAACATCAATGCTAGTTGGTTTGAGGGCCCATCATAAATAGTTGCTTGCTTGTAGAAAGTGATGGATCATGTTAAATCCTTTCTTTAACATGAGAAGCAATACATCCCTTTCGTTCTTGGCTTGAGGGCTCTGCAAATGACATTGGAAAATAAAAACACATTCATAGCCAGTGATGTAGTCATTTTGTATTTCATTGTTTATATGGTCAACAGAGGTTTGGCGTCATGCGCAAAGTATAAGCCTAAGATTTTAGTCCTAATATGTAATGCTTTTACAGATTATAATTAAAATTTTAACGGACATTTTTTAATCATGTGCTGCTTGAATAAGACTCACCGGTTGATTTCTCAGTTTCTATCTTTCGTATTGAATGATTTGAAGTTGGGGGAATGATGTACTCTTTTGACAATGTCTGCAATGCTTTTGGATTATGCAGTACCGCTGAAGATGTTTGCATTCACAGAGACTGAGCCTGCGGAATGGAGCTCTTATTGTCTCAGAATGTGTTTTCTATGAACTCTAGTTATGTGATCTGCTGGATTATAGTTCACCTATTAAACTTTCAATTTATTGGAACAATGTAGCAAGTTAAATTCCATGGAATATTTTTATGGTGATCAATGTGATGCTCCTATGTTTCTTCCCATACGTTTTGAGTGCATATATTGGTTCATTTGTTGGACTCGAATTTCAATTAAAATCATACAATTTTGTAAATGTGTATAAAGTTTCATGCCATAAGAGTTGGGTGATGGTATTTATGTTATCATGAGTTGTCAAAACCTTTCAAGTATGCGTTATTGACAGTCTTTTATCTGCATTCATTCATAGCAAGACTCATTAGCTTTTATATGTTAAATTGAATTTATAGATAGAATGCTCAATTTGGATTTTCTCTTATTCTGTTTGCCATTTATTCATTAAATGATATGGCTTAGTCGTTGATGATAATACTTGTATGGAAGCAGTTCTGAAAACTAATAGTTACAGTATTTTTTTTCTTCCAAAATATTAATGTTAAAAGTAACTATATTTGTGTTAGAAATAATACAACCACTTAAAGACTATTGTAATTATACTGAAATCAAATTTAAGGGTGTTCAAAATTTGTCTTTCACCAGTTTCTGTTTGAAGGAAAAAATCTAATAATGAGTAGTAATTAGTGTTCAGAAGGCTAAAATGAGATGATTGTTTCTACATTAACAATTACAGAAGTTTGATGACCTATCATTGTTTCTTCGTTCAATAAGACAATACTCTTTCGTTTACCAATCGTGAGTAGAAGTAATACGTTTTGCATATTGCATGGAATCTACTGGCCCCTCAACAAGAATGCTTCTTCGCATATTTCATGGATGCCGCCGATCAAGTTCTTGTTCTTTTCTGTCTGTTCCTGATACATGGTGGACCAGCAGTGGCTGTCCAGGTCATGTGTTTTGTTCTCCTAAGGGCTGAAGTGAAGCGGCAGAACATTATTTAGCATACCACAAATCATGTTTTGGCCACTGAAGTCAACAGGTGCGGCTTGTAGGGCCTGACGCTGGTTTTTCGACTTGGATTCTGAATGCAACATGAAATATTTTGGACGGCAGATGTCTCTACCAGGTATGTGATGCACACCACCTATTTGACGAAATGCTGATTCCATTTCTGTCTTTTATACGGATGTGATATCTAGATTGATTTGAGACATGGTGATGCACACCACCTATTTGACGAAATGCTGATTCCATTTCTGTCTTTTATAGGGATGTGATATTTAGATTGATTTGAGACATGGTGCATCAATTTCCTACACTTTATTTTGTTTGTATTCTCTTTGTGTGAGAAAAGAGAGATCAAAGTAAACTAGAAATGGTCACATAAATGACAGTATAAGCTATGATTTGGGGAGACCAAACAATTCTTCTTGTCAAGTTGACCTCCATTTGGCTCTACCAATCATATAGTTCTGGAACTGGCAACTCAGTGTCCATTGGACCCAATTCCCAAAATCTTATTGCTGTGGAACATGCATAACATCATTCAAAGCATAAACTAACTAGTGGGCAAATGACCACCAAGAATGTTTTATATAAATGTCTCAAGCCTAGGTCTATATGCTCTTATTTTTCTCATTCTTCCTTTCTTCCTCAAGGATTTATTGCAGAATTTTTTATGCTTAAGTAATAAGATCGATGCTTGTGACACCTTTGACTTGATTATTTGTTAGTGTGATGTTCTTATCTATATCCACCTTTTTTTTTTTCTTTTGCGCTTCAAATCCATATTTGTCTTACATTTGATTCGAATCCATATTCGAGTCAAACAAATATAATTACAAAATTATATTTGAGTTTGCACCTGTTAATAAAAAATTGATAGGATAGGGATATGGTTTCGGCAATTTTCACCATATCCCTAAGAGGGGAAACTGATTTATTTTTCTAAGAGGGGAAACATAGAGTTGGAAAGTCCACATATTTTGATCAATTCTAATTGAAAACTGAATTTGCCTTGACAAAATTGGGATACAATTGAGCCAAAAGCTATTAAAGTAAGATAAATTCATGAGGAAATGGTATTTCTTTGGATTCAACTCTGAAGAAACTGATTAATTGGTAAAGGCACATGGAATTAGTAAACATCAACTTTAGAATTTGAAATTTTGAGCTACCATTGAACTCTAGAATCCTAATCATTCATGCAACAAAAAAGAAATCACAAACATTGTTGAAGGTTGAAGAGAGCTGTTGGTTGAAAAAAAAAAAGGATCATTCATGATGTGGATTAGAACTGGTTAATCCTAAAGTCCAAATTTCTCTTCAACCTTTCAACCAACCTTAGGAAAATAGAGACATTTGGACTTGGAGTTGGTTTAACATTTGATTTCTGTCCAGAGGCTATCAGATTACACTTACATCTTGAGTGGGATAATCCCTAAATGTTGGAAGGAATAATATGTCCAATTAAGTTATGTCAAATGTGTGCTAAAACACTAAAAATGCAAATAATGTGCTAATAAATAAATTAGATATCTGGATAAGATGTCTGTCTTTGAACTTTTGGAAAGATGAGTCTCAACTATGAAGGACAGTGACAGCCCCTTTCTTCTGCAAGCTGAGTCTTAAACTAGAATTTCTCAATCACATGCATTCACTTCTACATGCATCAATTATTATAACAAAAGAGCAACCTTCTCTCCTATCAAAGAGTAGCTGACCTTTGTCTGCACCAAAAGAGTTAGGAGACCAAAAACACATCCACCATGGCTGTCACCATATTGGATTAAATGGCCGGTGTGCTTGAGAGCAGCAATGTGGAATCTGAGTCAGGCTGTTCTAAAAAATAACAAATCAATGCAAATCAAGTTGGACTTGTGATTATTTTATCTCACAACCACATCATGTTGCATGCTTTAGTGCATGGCAAGTCATAAAGAAACTGGAGTTGAGGAAAAGGGGGGAGGAGAGAGTAGAGAAGGGTTAAAGAGGGATGAACCTTTTTGGTGTCCCCTCTCATTCCCACCAAGTGATCACTCATTCAAGGGCAACATGTTTGCATTATAATAATACTACACGTCCTTTATCTGTGTGCTTAATCGGTGGTCGTACCTTTCCTGGTTTCAAGCATCTTTTGTTCTTTATTATCATGTTGTCCATTGATTTGTTTTAAGGTTCCAACTTTGGATGAGGATACAGCATGGGACTGTTAGCTTGTGATCTGAAGAAATATTGGAAGATGAATCGCTGAAGTGATTCATCACAAATGTATGAGACGTTATGATTCTTACAAGGGAGCCAAGTTATAATCTGCATCGTTGGATCTTGATCCGACGATCATAACCGGTGTGTATGCATACCATGGTCACCACCATCACTCTGTCTTTTGTAGGTATTATGGACGGCTCAGATGTAGAGAATAGAAAACGGAGGGCGGATATCAGAAACTAGATTAGAGATTGGACGCGACTCGCCGGCGAGAGAGAGAGAGAGAGAGGAGGCGCCGAAGACGACGCTGACACGCGCGGCGCCCTGTCGTTCGACGCAGCCCTTGCTTTGCGGGTTCGGTGCGCAGCGATGCGACGCGCCGACTGGGGCCCACGGTACGACGTGTGGGGGCGGAGATCGGGGACGTCTCGTCTTTCTTATATTCTTTTGTTTTCTTGGAGAAAGAGGAGGCGAAAGGAACGAAGAACCTTTTTGTTTTTTAAGGTAAAGCGACGCCCAAATTGCACGTAACCACGGAGGAGTATGACGCCGGCTGATACCTTGCCCGCCTCCTCCTCAGCATCGTAACTTAAGTGGAGGGTGAAGCGGTGACACGCAGCAGCGTTCGATTACGCGGGACATTATTCATACTGTTAATTTGATTTAATTTGCTATGAATCGTAAATGGAGGATATTAGAAGATAATTATTGGATGGGGATTGATAATACACTTCGATCCCGGATGTGGTCACCGCCGCCGGCGCTCTCACCTTCCCACGCAGGGAATCGATGCCGGTCACCCTTACAAAAAGAAAGAAAAAGTAACAAAAAGGTTTCGATCGGAGGGCCAAAACTTCCGTCGGCGGTAGACGGGGTGACCGCCAGAGGAAACCGCTCAAACGAAGAGGTTGAGAAGCCTCGGCTCGACTCCGGCGGAGCTCTCGCCGCTGGTCGTCGTCGTCACCGACCCCTCAGAGTTCATTGATGGCGTCGCGGGCCGCTGCGCCTTCTGCCATCCCGCGGGGTACAGAGGGGACAAGCACAGGTCCAGGTCGCACGCGCGGTCGGGGAGAGGGGAGGGCACCGCTTTGCACCGTTTCGCCTCCGCGGCCAGCGGGAAGCCGTCTTTTACGGAGGGAAGGGGCCGGAGGGCACCGCCGCGGAGGACGGTGTCGACGGCGGCCTGGCAGAGGTGCCAGTTGCCGGTCCAGAGCAGCCCGACGGCGCCGCCAACGGGGTTGATGGTCCGCCCGCACGCCTCGAAGAGCAGCGACTGGAACAGGGCTGCAGCCAATCAATCGGTCAGATGAAGCAAAACCAGGAGGAGGAGGAAGAGGAGGGAGGGGAGCGGGAGGGAGACCAGTACGAACCGGGGCGTTGGTGATCGGGGACGGCGGAGATGAAGGACATGAGGCCGGCGCGGCCGAAGAACTTGGCGACGAAGACGGTGGCGTGGCCCTGCGCCTCGGCCGTATCGATCCACTGGAGGCACGGCCGCAGCACGCACGCCTCGCTGCATCCCTTGCGCAGCACCCTGCAACCGTTGCAGCTCATCTCCTTCTCCCCCCTCGGGTCGCCAATCTCATCCACCACCCTCCCTCTCCTACTGATGTACTCCTACTTGCGAAGGAAGAGCAAGCGATGGAGGAGCACAGTGAAGAGAAGAGGGAACGATGGCAATGGTAGAGGAAGAGGAGGAGGAGGGTTATATAAGGATCACCGGGAGTTAGGGTAACCCCGCACCAGAGTTAGGGGTTGCCATGGAGTGACGGTGGTAGCGTTACCGCTAGAATATAAAAGAGAGAAAAGGAAAGGAAAAGGAAAGAAGGGGTTCCAAGGTTCCGGGGCGTGGGGTGGGCGGCTACGTGTCCCCGCGGCCGGTTCCCCCTTCGCCACCGTCCGATGGGCTTTGCTCGTGAGATGGATCCGAAAAGGAAAGGGAAACGGAAGCGCTGAAGCCTGCAAGAAACGTAGCTTCTTTAGAGGTCTAGAAGAGTTTGGATCGATGGTGGTGATCCGGCTTTCTCTTTCTGCTTTTGCTAGTGGGCAGCACAAAAGCAGCGGTCGGTGTCGATTTCAGCGGTGGAGACGGTACAATATTCCCTGGCGCAAGTTGAGGGCGGAAGGAGCAGCCAGCCATCAACCAAACCATTGGAATCCCCAGCTCCGTGGCGAGTACGACTCATGGAGCGATACGAACAAGTTAGTACACCTTCTTCAATCCCTCCCCCATTGCTTGGTTATCGGGCCATCCACCGGGCTCAACCTCACATCATTGGATCATTGGTCGGACATGATAGCTCGATAAGCCACAGGCTCAGGTTTAATCATTAAAAAAAACACTTTTAATATAAAAAATAAATTTTCTTATTTAATTCTTATTTTTTTTTAACATTTTAGAGGCATTTAGTCGACCCAAATAGATGTTTTAAAGTCTTTTTGCAATAAACATTTCGACTGATTCTTCCAAGTTACTTCAGCATGTGTTCATACAATTAAATTCTTGTATGGTACAAAAGAACTTAGGTTTGGAATGTCATGTCATACTTCAAAATTGGGAGTGACAGACAAGAATATACTGAAATGGTGGAACCAGATTGCACCGGTTGAAATGGATCAAGTTGTACCTTCAAGTGGGACAAGAAGTCCCAAGAAGCAAATTGGTGGAGGAAGATGGACATGACATTCCAAGAGAGCTATTCTCCTATGAGAGCTACTCAGCTCAAGGAAGAACACTGAGATTGACCTTTGTCACAAGTTACAGGTCTCCATAACACCAACAATGTTTCACTTCATTTGCTCTTAGCCTCTGTAGGGTTTGTTGATTATAAGTTCAGTACATGTTTTCTTTACCTGCTCATGCAATGCATCACTAGTCTTCATTGCTCAAACTGAATTAGGCATTCATCACCAGTACATCATAGGGTTTGTCATAATAAGAGTTATGAGATGTAATTCAGAACAGAACGTTGCAGGCAAGCACCTACTGGTCACCCTAACCCACTGAGAATTATTTCCAAGGGAATGCACTTGATTGCAAACCGAGGGATTAATGATGATTATCCTATTCTTATCAGCTATAATTTCTTCACTTATTGTACATACCATAGTGATTACAATGAAATACTAACTCATTATTCATATTCTAGCAGAAAATCACCGCCTACATTTTCAATCTTATCCTGCTAACTTGCTTTATGTCCTTTGCAATTTTCATTTTCTGTAACCCAACATATTAATGTTTTATCATTGTTTTTGCCTTAAGTTTAAGTCATGGCCAGTGCATAGGTCCTTCAGGAACTTTCCATATTGATGTTCAAGATAGACTTACTTGGATCCCTTTTAGGGCCCAAAGCAGAACAAGAGAATCTTTTAACATAATGCCAATGTGGACCAAGTGATCCTTGAACAGCATCAAGCCTTTTTGTTTTTGCTTTATAGTAACATGATAATGACAAATCAAATTATCATCTTGTTCAGATTAACAAAACTACATTGATTTTTTTTTTAATTTTCATGGAAAAGGAAATAGAACATACTTCATTTTAACCCATCTAACGAACTGTCTTTTTTTTCTTTGATAAATAGCATCTTGGATCTTATAGTGTTGACCTTGACACTCAAAATTACCTACCATAATGCAAGGATCATACGTTACATATGTGATTGTATCAGCCAATGTACCTTAGTTTATATCTTAACAATGTGCTCATCACACATGAATTTCTACTAATTTCTATATGATCTCTATGCTCATCACACATGAATATCCTCCAATAGTTGCAAAACATGAAATTAAAGGCGTAAAGTTCTCTGAATGAGCCTCCTTGAGGTTCTCTTCCTGGAAGATATATGTATGTAGGCTCCAAACAACCACATTCATTCACAGTCATTTTCAATTGTAGACAATCAAACCCTATTTGGTTTATGTAATTTTCAATTTGTAAATGTTAGATCATTAAATTTGGTTTTCCATCATTGAGATTTTGATTCATCTTGAGGTATGATATATTATGCCCTCTCTGTGCATATAATGTTGATGTACACCGCATGTGTAAAACTTTACGAACACCAACATAAAGACGCACTTCTCATTGTATACATGACTACATTAATGTATCTGTTTGTTATTTTGTGCAATTGTGTGGAGCCCTTTCTCCATCCTTCTTATTCATCCCTGCATAAGCTGGTCTGTGCAAGTGTTCATTTATATAGTTAGCATCTGACAGAAAATTTGTGCTCTTTGAAGGAGAGATAAGTCGCCTCTTCCTTTTCTTACTTAAAAAGTTTCTTTAGGAGGAAACTGTCCTGATTAAACTTGTTCATGGATGCATGTCAAGGAAGATTCCCTTGGAAATCATCACCATCACACCTTGACTAAGTGCAAGTCAAACAGGAAAAATGAATTTCAAGAAATCATCACCATCAAGGAGATGGTGAAAGAAGTAATACCTTTTTATTTGACTTGGGCCTGTTTTCCTGAGGTCTTTGACTTCGCCTCTTCCCTTGGAAATCATCTCTTTGATGGTGATGATTTCTTGAAATTCATTTTTCCTGTTTGACTTGCACTTAGTCAGGTATCACCATCTCCTTGATGGCGATGATTTCTTGAAATTCATTTTTCCTGTTTGACTTGCACTTAGTCAAGGTGTGATGGTGAAAGAAGTAATACCTTTTTATTTGACTTGGGCCTGTTTCCCTGAGGTGTTTCTAGTTCAGTTAGAGTCCCTTCATATTATAACCAAGGAGGGAATCTAAGTCAGAGATTTGACCAACTTAGGATAAATTCTCAAAGTCAGACATTCCCTACAGTTTTATGTTAATCGATTACTTTAAATGCTTGAAATCTCCTCCTTGTTTCGAGGACACTAATTGCAGTATTAATCTCATACATCCCACAGCTGGATCAGGCAACTTGGTTACTCTTAAAGAAGTTCTGATACCTGATGCAGGCTTTTTCTACATCCTTAGGTTGTAGACATCAGTTTACACAAGGAATGTCCCTTTATATGCCTTTGAGATTACATGCCTATCAAGATTATTCTATTAATTTGGCTCTTAAATAGTTCTGATACCTGTTGCAGGCTTTTCTACATCCTTGGGTTGTAGACATCAGTTTACACAAGGAATGTCCCTTTATATGCCTCTAAGATTACATGCTTATCAAGATTATTCTATTAATTTGGCTAGTCAAACACACATTTCAAGACCTGCTTAGCAATAAGAGCAGCCATTTAGATACTAAACTTGCCTGTTCAGACAATTTACACAGTTGTAGAAGATGCTGCATCAGACTATTCAAGTCATTTTCTTGTTCTGAAAAGATGGTCTCATGTTTTAGAGTTTCAACAGTCATCAATCGTTTATTACAAGGCTTTTCCAGATTCTTCATTTCTTATGGCTGATAGATTATCTACTTGCTGGCCAATTATGAATTAAGTTTTGCCAACAGTGTTCAGCCTTCATTACAGTGTTGGGTTGAGATCTCTTCTGGTTTCTTGGTGTGCCACATGTCAAACCGGGATCAAGGTAAATATTACCCCTATCATTGGTCTAACCATCTATAAGAATTTTCTCTTTATTTGCCATTGAATTTTATTTGATTCAATATTTTTAGCCAAGCAGAGAATATTTCAATCCATGTTTACAATTTCTAGTAGATTTTTTTAAAAAGTTTTCTCATCTAACTGTAGCATTCATATTCATAGTATCCTTAGATCAAGCATGCTCATACAATCTTAAATAATGTTTTCGTATGTTTTGTTATGTATCCGAGTTACACTTAATCATTTACAAATGAATATATATATGTATTCAAATAATTTCTCACATTGATTTTAATATATAATATCATAACAGTTACATAATTGCATAATAATATCAGTGGGTAGGACACCAAAGTGAATGGATGGCAATGTGAATTCCACTAAGAGTAGTAGTATATCACCCACCGATGATATTTATTCTTAGCCCCTCCCCATACAATGATCTTTAGGTCACCAAACAATGATGCTACCATTCTAATACTATAAGACCACGAAACATACATGCTTACATTGAGATCATCTCACTCTCCAATGCTTAAAAGCATTTCTCTCTCATTCATCTCATTCTTGCACGATCTCATGTCAAGAGTCAATTCAATTGGCTCGCTTTTTCCCTAATATACATACATGAGAATATTCCTCCTACCCTATTATCATAAGAATACTCTTCACTAAAGAAACAATGTCAAATAAAGATCATGAAAGAACTCCAAAAACATTAACAATGCATTTATGGCCAAACCCTATTTGCCTCATCCCTGCCTCAGGACAACCCCAATCTCAATGAAAGAGAAACAACAGTGTAAGTTATTGCCCATGGACCATGTCTTTCTTTTGCCATGACTAGGTATTAATCAGTGTATACACACACACACACACACATCAAGATTTCCTAGTCATATGACATGGGTAATGTAGTAATGCCCAACTAAGCAACAACTCTCAAACACAGCTCCTTGCTCCCTTCCAAGAGTCAAGTGATGTCCTACTGAGATCAGCCTTGTTTGATAGCAAAGGCCATAAGGAGTAGCCTCTGGTCTCTATACAATCTTAATATCTTTGTTTATTGAAGCTCCCATGGAAGTTTTGGCTTTTCTTATGGCAAAGATCTTCATAATTGATCCCTCCACATAAGTGCCAATCTCAACTACATGAGAAGTTTTGGCTCTTCATAATTGAGCCTTGTTTTCTAAAGGGTGATAGAGATAGGCACTGAGATCCCCCTGACACAGCTTTCTTTTCTTTTTTTCCCTGATTTTTTTTGTTCCTTCTACCAACTTCTCTCTCTCTCTCTCTCTCTCTCTTTCTCTCTCTTCATCAAGAAAGAAAAGTACACTATATACTAATACATAAATCAAAGTTTGTGAGATGAGACTGGGATCGAGTTGATTTCATGATTACTTATGACTTAAGACAATATGACTTGAAATACTTGCTATAAAATCTCTTCCTTTATAACTAGGATATCATTTGTTACGGAGTACTACATTTTATCTCAATTAAAGATATATTTTCCCCTATATCAAATACTTGATACTATTTAGTACGATCTGATTTGATGAGATAACTACTAGCTTCATTAATTTGATTTCAGAGAATCAAAATGAAAGCCGAGAAACAGTGTAGACAAGAAGGAAAGACCAACATGCTTGTGCAAAAGTTCCAGAGAAACAAACAACATGATATTTGCACTGGTGATCCTACATAGAAGAGGCATAAAAGTTGGAGCTACAATTCGACATCATCAACTACAATAGAATTCGATGGATCTGTGCAAAAGTGGGAAGGCTGGAATTCAACATCACGGGGGGGTGTTATGGTTGAAGTAATAGACTTCAACTCTGATGGAGTTGTCCATAATCCATAATGCATGTCATATCCTCGATCACCTTATTGCAATGCCTCCTAAACCTTTACACATGAGGCAGTACATGAAAGAACACAATTCCCTGCTCTTGCAATGAATCAAAGCCGGTAATACTGTGTGCAGCTCCCCCATACGACAAGGAGAATCGTAATCTTGGATGCTTTCGTCCCTCCTCCACCGGCCACGGAAGCTTCTTCTTGGAGAATGTCGTCTTCTTCTTCTTCTTCTTGTGCTCCCCACGACATGCCCACCTCAATCTGTCTTCCTCTCCCCTTTCTTTATTCCCGTGAGCACAAATTTCTCCTTCTACAGTTCATCCTAATAAAACAGTGCCCACGTCCTCCCCATTGCCAGATAATATACACTCCTCGTGCTACCACCCACCCCCTTCTTCCACTGTCGATTTCTAAGCCTTTGATCGATCATTGCATCCATCTTAGCTGTATTGCCTGATCGGCGATCGAACCTGTCGCAATCTCCAATTAAATTAGCGAGTGAAGTCGATTCTTTGACAGACAGCAATCTCTGCAACCAATCGTATAAATGCAATGCTCCCTATGCTTTGCTAAATGTCTCTGCGTCCTCTTCCACCTCTGTAATTGTTCGTCCCTCGCGATGGAGCCTCAGGGATTGGTTTCGGAGGCAAGCTGGAGCTGCTTCGATCCGGCGATGTCGGTGGAGGAGTCCGAAGTCATGGCGCAGCTGTTGGGGGGGTCTCAGAGCTTCGCAGGCGACCATGATCAACAGCAACAGATGCTTTGGTCCGACCATAATGCCGATTCTTACTACTGTGCTGCTACTTCTTACCCCGATCCGTACTGTTGGCCGCAAGGCAACTGTAGCAGAAGCAGCTCCACCGACTATTACTACTTTAGCGATCCCCACATGGTTCCTGCGATCGGCGTTAGCTCTACCCCGATGAGTTTTAGCATCGGCGGCGAGCGGATCGACACCCCGTCCTTCCCCGTCGGTGCTCATCATCAGTTTGGCGCAGCGGTCTGCGTGACCGAGGAAGCCAGCGGTGACGAAGTCGTGGATTCCTTGGCGAAGCCTCCTCCACCTCCTCCTGCGCATGCCTCGCAAGCCATCAAGAGAAGGTTGCATGGTGGCGTCATCGAGGTGGCTGCCAACACGGAAGAGGATGACACCCAACTCCAGAGCCCCAAAAAGAAGGCCCGGGCATCGGCACCTGTGAGTATACGGTATCATCTGCAATGTTGCCGAGATGAATGCCGATACCATTCTGATGAATGCAATGTTTCAGATGCCTAAGAAGGGGAAGAATGCGCAGTCCAAGAAGGCTCAGAAGAGTGGTGGTAGCTGCAACGAGGAAGAGAGCAATGGCGACATGAATCCTCAGAGCTCCTGTTGCTACACCTCGGAGGACGACTCGAACGGATCTCAGGAGCTGAAGGGAGCTGCTGCATCTCTGAATTCAAATGGCAAGACGAGAGCTGGTCGTGGCTCAGCTACCGATCCCCAGAGTCTCTATGCGAGGGTAGGATTCCTATTCAGACTCAACATCGCCTTTGATGCTCTTAAATCTTCGATCGTGAGACATGATCTGAGTTAAGTATGTTCTGCAGAAGAGGAGAGAAAGAATCAACGAGAGGTTGCGAATTCTGCAGACTTTGGTCCCGAATGGAACAAAGGTAAGCAAGCAAGCATCTCTCATCTTCAACTGCTCTTTCTCTCTTACCATAGAGAATGATGATGAGTAGTAAGTAACATTATGTGGCTGATAAGTATTGCATGGATTTGGAAGGTTGACATCAGCACAATGCTCGAGGAAGCAGTTCAATATGTGAAGTTCTTGCAGCTTCAAATTAAGGTCAGAACTGCATCTCACACACGATTTTGCACTGATATTGCTATTGCATCTCACCTGAGATGGGACATTTGTTTCTGCAGCTTCTGAGCTCTGATGACTTGTGGATGTATGCACCCATTGCATACAATGGCATGAACCTCGGGATCGACCTGAACATAGCTTCAAAATCTCAGCAGTGACATCCATATACAATCTTCCTTTTTCTTCTTTTTTGTCCCCTAAAATGTTTTGAATTTTTGGGTAATTTCCGCAGAGCAAAGGGATCATCAGTACTTGACTAGCAATTATGAGAAGCGTGTTGATGATTCAAATTGACCAAATCTCATGTATTCTTGACTTATTTCATCAGTTTTGACTGTTAACTGATGGAAAGATTGGTCCAAAACCACAGATGATGTAAATGAGGGCAACTGCCTAATTCAATACATGACTTTTGTTTTGATACACTACCTTTGGATGTGATATGTTGGGTGACCCCCAAAATTGTTATTATTGGAGGCAGCATTCAGTGACCAAACTTAATCATTGGTTCATTATTCCAAGAGGACTCTTTAATCGAATCCGCCGAGTCATCCGATGTGTGTTCTTCACCGAGTCCAACTTCATTTTATGAGAAAATCAATTAATCTTAGTGGTTCTGCAATCAAGGATTCGAGAACGAGGGAAACTAAGGCAAATCAATTAATCTTAGGGGATCTTATGGCTAAAAGAATAAACTTGATGCATGGGGGGCTTCATCAAATACATAATTATGCCCTTACAAATTGAGAAATCTTTTTCGTAACCCGAATGCTACTACAAGCGAATAATCTTATTATTGTACCGAAGGCTCACTTGCTTTCTCCGTATTAATCGGTAAGATTTACATTATGATTAATAAGAAAATGTGATTATGTTCTTATTAGACAGAATGAGCTTTTTAATTCATGAAACATTCATAAATGTTGAGTTATTTTACCTCATAATATCTCTTGTTAATAATAAAAGGGTGTAGGATCAAAGTTCCACAATCCACATTCAGGGATTTGTCTATTACTTTGTATTGACTCCAGTCATGTCATGTCTCTCAGAAATGTAGTTTTAACCATTACGTTTCAATATTTGATAATAAAAATAAAAAATTCCCAAGCTTTTACTTCTGGTTAGATAAAAGGCCGCCCTGTGTCAATCAATATTTAATATGCTTCAGATTTTGGGGCTCCACATCTCTTTCTCTCTTTGCCTATTCATCCATTTCTTTTCTCATCCTTCTCTTCCTCCCTCTCTTGAATGACGACAATTGTTCTTCTAAGAAGCCACAGCTGTGTGGGAGATAACTTTGGATGCACTACTGACCATTGCCGAGCACAGCCACCATTCCAAATGTAGGAAAATCCACGATATCTGTGTGCTGTGCAGGAAAGCTACCAGTCAAGATTTCTGGACTCTTCTGTCTCCAGTTCTATGCAAGTTATGTCATAGCAGATACTCATGATCACAGTTTCCTGTGTATCAAATCCGGAAAATCCACGATATCTGTGTGCTGTGCAGGAAAGCTACCAGTCAAGATTTCTGGACTCCTCTCTCCAGTTTTATGCAAGTTATGTCATAGCAGATACTCATGATCACAGTTTCCTGTGTATCAAATCCTCTATAATGATAATAGAGATATTTTTAGATGAGATTTTTTCAACTGTACGAAAAAGAAAATCTGTTGAGAAAAATTCTATCTTTCATTATGTATAAATAGATATTATATGATATTAATTAAGATATTTTTTTTTATCTTTATAATTTTATTATTCATTCTATCATTTTATCATGGTATTAGAACAGTGAGAAAAGCGAGGCTTTGCCCCTACCTCCTGTCAGTGACCATTGCCACTACAGCCACATTCCCAAGCGAGGCTCCGCGATCATTCCTCATCTTCCTCACCGCGACAGTCTTCACTGATCTTCCTCACCGCGACAATCTTCACTGATCTGCCATCAATCGGCGGACTTGAGGAGATCGAAGGGGACACTTGTGCCCTCAATAGTCTGCACATCGGGACTTAACGATCCGGCGCTCTCCTTCGCGTATACGTACAACCGCGCCACACATAGCACCGTGTGGATCGTCACTGCATGCACGAACTCAAGCCACCGCAGTCACCCACCTCTCACCTCTCACCTTCCATTGCTGCCAGCACCCCGTCACTGAACCTCTGCTCTAGACCTGCTCAGCTTTCGCGTGCTGGACCATCGGGCAGCCCTCTTTGTGGACCTAGTTGCCAGAACCCTCACGCTGGGCACCATCGACCAGCTCCTGGCTCTCTCCCTTCGGCGACTTTGCCTTCGGATTCTACACCGCCGACTCTTAAAGCCGTCGTCTGGTCCACCAATGGTTGTCCTCGACAAGCAGCATTTGGAACCTTTCTACGCTGTAGTTGACTAGCGACGACCGCCTCTCCCTCAAGGAGGAGGGTGGAAACGAAGTGTGGAGCGTGGGCCCTGCCAATGCCTCCGCCACCATTGTCCTCAACTCCGGCAACATCCTGCTTCCGGTGACATCCTATGACAACGTTTTGATCTTCCTACGGACACGCTCCTACCGGGTCACGTCTTGGTCCTGGAGAGGACCTTGTCTAAGTGCAGGCCTACCATCCCTTTCTGTTGTTACCAGACAATCTTTGCAGTTCTCTCCCGTTGCCTTTGATCAGTGATCGGGGCAACCACTGCATCCTACTCCACCTTAGCCCCGACAAGCAGCATTTGGAACCTTTCCACGCCACTTGCTGCATCATTGCATCGCTGCTACGCAACGTCCAACAGTGATCTTCAGCGATGCAGTACGCACTCTACTACCCAAAGTCCTAACTGCTGATCTGTTGCACAAAGATCTGCAACTGTCTTACATAGAGCTAACCTCCTCCTTCAACAAAGACCTCATTTGCCAATAACCTACCTCAGGTGACATTGATCTGCACCACCACTTCTTCTTCCCTAATCATTGTTGTCGTTACAAACTTTTACCTACTCCCACATATTGATACATATCTTTCATATGTCCTTATCATCTACCTCTGATGCTCCAGATATTGTTCCTACAGGGAACCATAGTACTTTCCCATATACAAGCCTTATTTCCATCAATGTAGCAACCCTCATCCCCTTCAAATTATCCAAAGGTGACAACTACGCATCCTAACGTGCTCAATTCTCTAATCTTCTATTTGGCTATGATCTTCTAGGCTATATCGATGGCTCCCTTCGTTGTCCACCAGCAATACTAAATATCCCAGGAGCACCCAATCCAATACCAAATCCAGACCATAAATTATGGTTACGCCAGGATCGTCTCATCCTCCAAGCAATTCAAGCCTCCATTGCTGGATCCCTCACCCCACTCATATCTTCATGTGACACTGCTGCTGAAGCCTGGTGCAAGTTGCAAGCCACCCTAGTGAATAGTTCACGCACTCATATGCTTAGTCTCCTATCTAGTCTTATGAAAACTAAACAAGAGGGAAGTATTGCTGCTGATTATCTACACAACATAAAGATTATCATCGATAACTTGGCATTGATAGGTCATTCTCTCAGTGATGAAGAAATTACTATTCATATCCTCAATGGCTTAGGCGATGAGTACAAGGAATTGGCAGCAGTAATACGGGCACATGACTTACTAGTGTCTTTCGAAGAACTCTACGACAAATTGACTGACTTTGAGATATATCTAAAGCATGAAGACAAATTGTCAGGACCATCCATCATAGCTCAAGTTAGTCAAAAATCTATGAGGAGGGGTAATTTGTATAACAAGACTATCAACAAAGGTTTGACCAAGATGCCTCCTGAACCTATAAGCTCCAAACAAACCATACCTCCTTAACATCATCAATATTCCAATCACAACACCCAAGGTGGCTACTTCACTCCTCAATAATCTTGGCGCCCTCACCACCAACAAAGAGTTATGTGCCAACTATATGACAAAGTCGGTCACTCTACAAAGGTCTATCGATCTCGACCTAGACTTCATGCTCAATCATATTGTTCTTAAGCAAATCTCACGACTACTCCAAACACTAGTGCTCAAAATTGGATCGTGGACTCTAGCGCATCCCACCATATCACCTATGATCTGTAGAACTTGTCTATCCACAATAACTATAGTGGAAATAAAGACATCATCATCGGTGACAGTAAAAGAATTTCTATTACTCATACTGGTTCCACAATACTTAATTCACCTATCACAATTTTTACACTCGATGATGTTTTGTATGCACCTCACATTAAACGAAATCTCATTTCCGTTTCTCAATTTTGCAAACAAAATAATTGGCACATAACTCTTTGTTGGTGGTGAGGGCGCCAAAATAATTGGCACATTTCTCAATTTCTCAATTAAATTCTTTTCTAACTCTTTTCTTGTCAATGACCGTCAGTTCCACAAATAAAACAACACATTATCTACTCCTTAGTTGCAGCTCCAATTGATGTGTGGCATTGTCGTCTCGTTCATCCCTTACTCTCTATCCAAAATAAATTACTTTCTCATTATTCTCTTTCTACTCTTAAAAATATAAGTATTATCGCTCATTGTGATGCTTGTCTTAGTAATAAAAGTCATAGACTTCCTTTTGGCACTTCCTCCATATCATGTTCTACACCATTTGAAATTATTTATACTGATGTTTGGGGCCTTGCTCCCATCACTTCCTTTGATAAGTTTAGATTTTATATCATTTTTGTAGACTACTTTACTAAGTACACATGCATATACCCTCTCCATCATAAATCAAAAGTTTCACTAATATTCACCAACTTTAAAAAGTTGGTCGAAAACTTCTTTCAGTTTACCATTAAAAGGAGGTGAATATCAAGCTCTCACATCCTACCTCTCAACCCATGGCATCTAACACCTTAAGTTACCCTCACACACTCCTCAACTACTTGGCTCAGCTGAACGCAAACATTGACATATCGTAAAAACTGGTCTCACACTTCTACATCAAGCCTCTATGCCAGCAACTTTTTAGTCTACAGCTTTTCAAACTGTCGTCTACCTTATTAATCGTATGCTCACTCTAGTCCTCCAATATCAATTACCATTTAAAAAACTATTTTTTAAATCTCTAATCTTCACAAACTCAGAATATTTAGTTGTTTATGTTATCCATGGCTATGTCCCTATACACCACACAAGATCACACCAAGATCTAAGTCTTGCATTTTCATAGGATATTCTCTTGAACATAATGCCTTTCGATACTACGATCCGAAAACTCAAAAAGTCTTTGTTTCCCGCCATGTTATCTTTGTGGAGTCTGCCTTTCCATTTCAAAACCATGAGTCTCCTACCATGCAAGTTACTCTAACAAATATACATCACTGGAGTATACCATTGATCCCCTCAAATGAATCTCTCACCTCACCTTCCAGTCCCT